GCTATTTACATTTGCTTAAAGCTCCTATATTACACAAAACTGACTCTTGTGAGCTTTAAATCGTGTTATAATCTTGTTTCCTCCTCAAAAACAGACCTGGAGTTGTGTTTTGTTTCATTCACACATGTTTAAGTAACTCTTTATTATTAGTCCGTACATCCCCAAAACTCAAAATGCTCCGATCCACCTTGTGATGTCATTTAGTGGTAGTTTTAAAGTTATTTTACAGCTTTTTTTTTTTTTTTTTACTCAATTGAACGACATTACACTCCAATACTCCAGAATAACCTTAAATTGCTGCTTTTATTTTGGAATATTTTTTAACTTTCACAAACTCAAATTCACAGAGGACAAAATTAAAAACTGGGATTAAGTCGTCAAAGTCGCCAAACTAAATATTTATTGAAAAATTTCAACAACATCTGTATATTTTCTCTTCTTTCGAGATGTGTAATGTTAAACCTTTTCTTACTAAAATAAATGTTTAATAATAGTTTTGCTTAAACGTTAAATCCAGAACAAGCAAAATAAAATAATAACAACATTTTAAATAATTAACGTTCTCTCTTTAGTCGGTTTATTTACTCAGACATGTGCGAATGAAACGAAATGTAACTCCGGGTTCTGAGATGATTTAAAGCTCACGATTGTGTTCATTTTGTGTAATTTTGGACCTTTACAGTTTGAGTTATTTCAGTTTTCAAACAGTCCACAGTCTCACTTCTTGTCTTTAAAACCATCCCTGTATAAACCCAAACAGATCCCAAAATACTCTGCTCATTCTCAGTCGCGAGATGGAAAAATAACATGGAAAAATAAAGTTATAATCTTCGTTTTCCTCTATAGAAACCTCATTCATAGATCAAAATATCAGCACCAGTGTCTCTGTCTCGCTCCGTCCCTCCACACGCTCAAAAACATTCTGTATTTCTGCTGAAAAATACAAAAGAGCTGCTCACCGAAACGTAATTTTGATTCAGAAATTGCAAAGTATTTTCCAGTTTAAAGGAATTGTACGCAGCCTGATGAGCTACTTTTACAAAACAAATACGCCAGAGAGCTGCTAATTTCAGAGATGATTATAAGAAAGAGGGTGAGCCTTTGGGTGCAGTTTGACACAGATAAAACATAAACCATTAGTGCATAAAGTTGGGCTTCAGAATTATACATTTAGATAAATCTGTGCAATCTGTGTATCATTCGTTCATTTGTTTTTCAAAATAAAACCAAAAATAAGAAAACGAAAAAAACAACTATTTTTTTCATTATTTGTCTCCAAAACCAAAATTAGGGAAAAAACAGAAAAAAAAAAAGAAAAAAATAATAATAATGATAATAAAAAATAGATAATGATTTGTTTTTTCAGTTTTTGATTTTGTGTTTAAATGAAAAATGAAAAAAAAAAAAAAAAAAAAAAGGATAACAGCCGTTTCGTGTTTCTGTGACTTAAACTGTGATGCCGGACTGAACCGGGACTAAAACAGGACTAAACCAGGACTGAATCAGGACTACAACGGTCTCAGTCCTGGTCTGGTTCCGATCTCAGTCCCGGTCTCAATCCTGGTCTCAATTCTCGTCTCAGTCCTGGTCCAGGTCTCAGTTCTAAACCAGAACTACACCAGGATTGAACCAGGACTAAACCAGGACTGACTGTTGGGACGGGCCCGAAGGTGCGCCCATGTAGACTGTCGGGTGATTAGGGCTGAGACTGGGAGCAGACCAGGACTGAGACGAAGACTGAGACCGGGACAGAGACTGGGACCAGACCAAGACCTGGATTGAGACTGGTTTAGTCCTGGTTTAGTTCTGGTAGACCTGGTTCAGTCCTGTTTCAGTCCGGCATCACAGTTTAAGTCATGGAATTGAGAAATGGTCATTATCCGTTTTTTCCATTTTTCATTTAAACACAAAATCGAAAACTAAAAAAACAAATCATTATCTGTTTTTTTTTTCATTTTGGTTTTGGAGACAAATAATGAAGAAAATAGTTTTATTAATTTTCTGATTTTTGGTTTTATTTTGAAAAACAAATGAACAAACGATACACAGACTAGATCAGCTTCAGTTTGTCTCATTTTTGTGTCCAGTCTTTGAAAATACCAGATTTTGCGCTTTATTTACCGTTGTAATAAATTATAAATCAGATGTTATGTCCTGTTACTTTTGAGTAGTACTTTTTCCAAATACTTCACTCTTACTTTCATAATTTCTTGGACCACTACATTGTTCTTTTACTTGAGAAATATTATTTTGCAGTTACGTTTTTTATGAACTCCACTCACCTCGGCGCTTTTGCTCTTTTATTCTCAGCCTTTTAGTTATAATCGTTATTAAATATACTCGATATTTTCCATAAATGTCCACTCTTTACTCTTTTCATTTAAAACCTTGGTATATAATTTATATTTTATTACATCACACATCAACGTTAGAACAGGAATCTCTCGTTTTCAAATCAACAAACACTTTTCTCAGACTCACGCTGCCGTTTTTGAACCCGTCTAAAAACATCCGTAAACTTTCTGAACCACAAACAACTTTTATCCAGCAGCGAACTGAGTCTCGTCCAATCAACAGAGCAGAGCAAAACTCCAGACGTGCACTGCGGAACTTTACTGGAGGATCTGTGTGTCATTTGTTAATTCGTTTTTCAAAATTACTTAAACTGCGATGCCGAACTTTTGCGCCGCATACGGACTGAACCAGGATTGAACCAGGACTAAACCAGAACTGATCCAGGACAGAATCAGGACTGATTCAGGGCTAAACCGGGACTAAACCAGGATTAAATCAGGACTGAACCAGGACTCAAGCAGGACTAAACCAGGTCTAAACCAGGTCTAAACTAGGACTAAACCGGGACTGAACCAGGACTAAACCAGAACTAAACTGGGTCTAAACCAGGTCTAAACCAGGATTAAACCAGGTCTGAACCAGCACTGAACCAAGACAGAACCAGGACTGAACCATGTCTGAACCAGGTCTAAACCAGGACTAAACCGGGTCTAAACCAGATCTAAACCAGGTCTAAACCAGGACTAAACTGGGACTAAACCGAGTCTAAACCAGGACTAAACCGGGACTAAACCAGGACTAAACCAGGTCTAAACCAGGTCTAACCCAGGAATAAAACAGGTCTAAACCAGGACTGAACCAAAACTGATCCAGGGCTAAAACGGGACTACACCAGGACTGAAGCAGTACTAAACCGGTACTAAACCAGGTCTAAACCAGGTCTGGTCCAGTCCTGGTTTAATCCTGGTTCAGTCCGGCATCACAATTTAAGTCACGTAAACGGGAAACAGCATTTTTTATTTAAACACAAAATTGAAAACTGATAAAACAAATCATTATCTGTTTTTTATTTTGGTTTTAGAAACAAATAATGAATTTTTATTTTCGGTTTTATGTTGACAAACGAATGAACGAATGACACACAGATTCTCGAGGAGTGTGCCTCCTGCTCGTCGCCGTGGTGATGTTATCGCTTTGCCTGGACGGGATTAAACAGTTTGGCAGATGGAGACAAGGCCAAGTTACAGGTCAGATCTGCGGAGAGGCAATCCCGGTCACAAGAACGCACGTTTGATTTTCAGTGCTTTAACCTTTAATATTATTAGCCAACTACTAGTAAAATGTGTGTAAACAGTGCGATTAATTACATCTTTAGTTTATGAAGTAATAATTAATGTCAACGTACCGAATTTTTACTGTCTTAAAAATATGAACAACCAGCACTTCTTGGTTCTAGGGCGATAAAACGCTTTATAATCGGACACAAACAGCACACAGCGGACTTATTTTGACTTTAAATATGCTCCTACAATATTTCTGTACTGGGGGAAGACAAATTTTACTCAAGTACATGGAAAAAAATCAAGTACAGGCTCTTGAATGTTGCATTATTGAACCTAAAAAGTTAAATATTGAAGTGTATAGTGGTTTCCTTTAATAGATCTTTTTTACAACGGTCAGAAGTGCCGCGCTTTAGGTTTGTGGAACTTCTGGTTAATGATTTTCTGAGGTAAAATATCTGTGTAAATGTCCGACGTATTCTCCAGCAGCTTCATAAATCTGCTCCATCACCAAATCTTCAGCCAACAAGGTCCACAAAGGATAAACATTCTTCCACAACTATCAAGGTAAGAAAGATGAAAGCTTAAAGGAAAACAATGACGACACATTAGTGAACTACTGAGCAAAATTAGCATGAAATGAAATCAATTTAAAATTTTAATTGTAGAATCAATCTGAGTGAACAAGTTACTTCTGTTTTATTCATGATCATGATTCATGATCTTTTGAACCATATCGCTTTTGTTTCTGGTTCTGATATTGTCATATTTTAGTTTTGAGATTCGGACATTGTAATTGTGTGGTTGTTGGATTCTAACAGCGGAAAACGGCTCGAGAAATTTGTTTGCGAACTCCATAAATGCAAAAGGGAATCAGATGTGTGTGACTGCAAACCTCTGTTCAAACTGTTTCTCTTCCCAACAGAATTAAAAAAGGACCAAAAAGGAAATCTTTGACTGCCTAAATCATCCTGAGTTTGCAGCGAACATTTTGTATGTGAAGCGCCATCAAAGCAAAATCCCGATCCCTCGCTCAAAATTGGTTATGAATTTAAAAAGTCAACGCCAAAGAAAAAGGCACCAACTGTTCACCAAGAAACACCTTCCACTGGAAAGAGACCAAGACGTGATGTTGCTGTAAAACCACAAGAACAAGAAAGTGCAGCTCAGTCTGTTTGTCTTCTGCTCCTCTCCATTAACAAACAGGATCCTGCTTTGTTGGCGCTCCACATACAAAATGTTCACTGTAAACTCGGGATGATTTAGTCAGTCAAATGTTTCCTTTTTCGTCCTTCCTGTGGATCAATCCTGCCCATCACCTTCACCTTTCACTATTTTTCAGTTCCGTTGGGAAGAGAAACAGTTTGAACAGAGGTTTACAGTCACACACATCTGATTTCCTTTTGCATTTATGGAGTTCACAAACAAATTTCTCGAGCCGTTTTCCGCTGTTAGGATCCAACAACCACACAATTACAATGTCCGAATCCCAAAACTAAAATATGACAATATCAGAACCAGAAACAAAAGTGATATGGTTCAAAAGACTTGAAAAGATCAGCTTTGTCAATAGACACATCCCACTGGGAAAACAAACATGGCGGTTTGATGCTCACTTTTTCGGAAAATCCTTCCCAGTATGGATTGCGCGATGACCGTAAGTCCGAGATTCTTGACGCGTCTATTGTACATAAACTAATCCCATAATAAGCATTAATAAAGACTTTATAAACACTAACAGCTCAGTTACTAACAAACCAATTTTTACTTCGTTAGGGATGAAGAAGTGATCCTTAAACTAACCTAATACAAAATAAATCTAAAACAGATACATTTATGCTATTATTACTTTGGCACATTCCAGGAAAAGCGATAACATCTCCATGGAGACAAGGAGGTAGCGTACCAACTAAAAGTTCCGCAGTGCATCTTTAATCACCAATGGAGAAACAGATCGAACTATATTTATATTAAACACAGGCCCCTTGTACAAACAGTCTCTTTACCATCGTACTTTCTCTGTACATTTCTACGATGTACACGATATTAACAAATGATTTAATGTTCTACAGAGTTACACAGAGCGTCTACGGCTGCGCTGATGAGTTCCCATGCAGATCTGGTATGAGTTATAGACGGATACTGGGGCTCGTTGATTGTGTGGTTGACAGTTCAGAGGAGTAGGGCAGGGTTTAGTTCCTGTCGTGGCGCAGGGAGGACAGCAGGGGGGGCAGTAGGTTGAGAGCGGGCCGGTGCTCCTGTAAACCCAGAGCCACCAGAGCCCCCGCCAACAGAGACGTGACCCGGGGCAGGACGGGCCCGCGGGCTGGCATCACCTACAACAACACCAAGAAGAAGAAGAAGAAGAAGAAGAAGGAGGAGGAGGAGTTATACACAGAGGAAATAGTTTAATATGTTTGAGTGTCAAATATTCCACAGCATCAGAGAGTGAACTCAGACCTTTTCTACTTTGTGACAGTGAATGAGTCCGTCGTGGCCGATGTAAAACGTGGAGAAAGCGTCGACGGACCTGAAAGCAACATGACACATAAACAAGTTTATTTGACACAATGACACACAGCCATCAGCACATCACACACACCATCACACACACAATCACACACACACACACATCACACACACAATCACACACACACACACAATCACACACACAATCACACACACAATCACACACACAATCACACACACACACACACACACACACACACACACACAATCACACACACACACACACACACACACACACACATCACACACACACACACAATCACACACACACACACCATCACACACACACACACACACACACACCATCACACACACACACACACAATCACACACACACACACACACACACAATCACACACACACACACACACACACACACACAATCACACACACAATCACACACACAATCACACACACAATCACACACACAGTCTTCACAGTCATAGTTTGTTGAACCACAGTGGCCTCACAGTGTGCCAGCCCCAAAAACACTGAATCACAAAAGAAAATGTCTGGGGGTCTAAACTTCTGAGTTACACATTTTTTAGCTGTAAAGCTACTGGACTGAAGAAGACATCTCAATGATTTGTTATAAAAGCAAACACATTGTGCTTTCCTCGGCTATATAATTAGAATATATGACACCATATATTTTAGATTAAATTGCGACGTAATAAAAGAAAAATGTGAGTTGATTTCGAGGTTGGAAAATGTAGGTGCCCAATGAGATGCCAAAATGGCTCTGCCATCCTGCCGAATCCTACAGTATGTGTATCACAGATGAATAAAAAGCAACAGGTGTGTACATCTTCAATACAGGAGATTACTCAAACATACATAAATAAAGCCCAATTTATGGTCATGCATCAAATCGTCTGCATCACAATGTAGAGAGTCGTCTTCGCCGTGAAGCCCCTACGCAGAGCATCTGCGTCGACTGACGTGCACCTCCGAAATTTGTCCTCTCTACATTGACTCTGCATACATTTCCGTACTCTGCTTTGTGGCTTCATTTTGTAAAAATGAATGCCATTTTTAAATCCTAGCATCCTAGCATTGTGGCGGTGAGTTACTTCATGGCACATAGACCTCAATGCAGATCCATAAATCAAAAACAACCACGACAAGGCGGCGGCGGCGGTGGTGTGCTTTGAGTCAATGCAGAAATATAATTCAGCCTTAACTCTAAACACAACTTCAGAGGGTAAATGAGGAGGGAAACAACAGTAATACAGTTAAAAGTTCTTTGCATAATAAGCCTCCTTCAAAACATGTCAAGGTGTTTTTTTAAATAATTTTGCTGTTCATGTAGTTGAGATTAAATAAAATTAAGTCTTATGTTGTACTGTGTGACTGCGTAGAGACACAGAGACACACAGAGGTCCCGACCTGCTGAGCTGGGACTTGTCCTTGAGGTAGAAGCGCAGCAGCAGGCTGTGTACAGGGACGCCGCGCAGTCTCCAACGAGCCTTCACCGAGCCGTCCTCCGGGTGTTTGGTGAGTTTCAGCACCTCCAGACGAGCGTCCACGTAGTACATATGACACAGGATCCGCCAAAAGGTCAGACTCAGCTGGTACAGGACACGCCCCCTGGACACACAACTCTTCAGCATCATGTGTACAGGTAAAAGCATTAAAAGTACTAACTAGGACTACACACACACACAAAAACACATAAACACACTTATTCTACATGATGCCTTCAGGGAGCAGTATAAAAGTACCAGGACCTCACACGAGTACCTTGTTTTAGTATTCAAGAGCCCATTGATAAACTCCAGGTCTTGAGAGTACATGCTGTAGTCGTGGTCCTTCTTAAAGAAACCTGGAAGCTGGAAACAAACACAGAGACAATCTTAAAATAATCTTCTACAATATTTAAGATAAACCAACATGCTGTCAAAAACGGAATATTTCATATAAAGCACGGCCTGGCAGCACAGGCATGTCATTATAAAAACACTGTACCCAACAGAGGTATCGTGTACTGGGTCAGACTGACTCCATCACTTGTACTTTTGTTTATACAATGAACCAAATAACTGCTAAACATTTATCTATTTTGATACCAAAGAAGAGGCTCAGGCTTGATAACAATTTTGATCCAAGACGATCATTTTAAAGCTCTTTTTTAGACAATATTGTAACTTTCCACATAAAATAATAGTGTTTGTTTATTGCACCATGAGCTCTTACGCTTGTTCTGATAAAAGTCAAGAGGAAACTGGTCAGGAAAAGTCACATTTGATCCAGTATTCAGTATTGGTACTTGCTAAATACGTCCAAACTATGGCCCGTGGGTCATATCCGGCCGTCAGACAAATTCTTCTTGGCCCTCAGGCTTCCAGGTGAATTGGCCCAAATTACATAAATAAAAAATGTATTTTAACTACAACTGTTTTTTTTTTTTAAATCTACCTTGATAAAGCAAATATAAAATATTTAGTGTAGTTTTAAGGATCTTGGCATGAATAAAGACTGATGACTCATTCTAACATGTTTAAACATGCAAATATTTCAATTATTCCCTGTACTGAGCACCAGTCTACCGTCCTCGATCAGCCCTCTGCTTCGTCTCTGTTTAGATATGTGGCCTTTGATGAAAAAAGTTTGGACACCATGTGCTAAAATGGGAATCACATTTCAATACTAGTTTTAGGATCGATTAGTATCGACACTTGAACCTCTTTGTCAAAGCCTAATCCCGTCAGATCTCAGAAGCTCAGCAGGGCCGGGCCTCGTTTGTACTTGGATGGGAGAACACTGGGAAAATCCGGTGCCACAGGAGGGTGCCAGTGGTAAAAAAAAAAAAAACAACTGTCATTGTGTCCTTAAGCACTTCACCTGCATTGTCTAATATGAAAGTGGTGTGTGTGAGTGATGGTGGTGGACGGAGGCCGTGCTTCTTACCACCGCCGGGTAAGGACTGAATGAATAATGCACCAAATTATTCAGACACACTAGACCAGGAGTCTAAAACCTGTAGCGCGGGAGCTACCAGTAGTTCTCCACACCCTTCCAAGTAGCTCACCAAAGGATTTTTGAATTATACATATTGCACTGAATAACTAAAATTTGAATGATTAAATGACTATTTCCATTGTAAATGTATCATGAACTTTGTGAACTGATAACTGGATAATCGTTTATGTTTTATAGGCCCTTTGTAGGCCCCAACTATACCCCGGCTGAGGCTGACTATGGCTCTTATATTTCCTCCATTTGGGCAACCACTAAAATTAGTAGCTTTCTGGCATTTTCATTTTACAGAAAGTAACTCACAGGGGATGAAAGTTTGAAGACCCCTACACTAGACACACAAGCGACTTTGGGTGTCTAGAAAAGCACTATATAAGACTAAAGCATTATTATTATTATTACTTTTGTCGACCCTTTTCTATTTATATGTTCACTGTTTAAATGTTTGGATATGAAACAATATCAAATGCCGATATCAGAAAGACTGAATCACTGAGTCTCTAACATATTGTGAGTCTATTTGCGTGTCCTACCTCTATCCTGAGACGCTCGTACATCAGAGCCAACTTCTGCTCCTCCTCACTGTCTCCTGCAGGGGGCGCCTCGTGTAGCCGCTGGGCCGGGCTGCACAGGGTGGAGGGCGGCAGCAGCAGCAGAGGCAGCTCCTCCAGTCCACAGACCTGCTCCCCACTGCCCAGCGCCTCCACCGGGGGGCAGTGGAAGCAGTAAAAGTGAGATCCGTAAACGAAGGGGGCGGGGCATTTCTCGGCTTCGAACAGGCTCCTGAAGCAGCCGTGTTCCCTCACCAGAGCCTCAGCGTTCTTATGACTCCGCCCCCCCACGCTGATGTCATCCACGCCGCTGCCGTCCACGATAGTCAGGGGGAAGGACAGGGCGGACGGTTTGTGTTTGCTCCGGTCGCGCACGGGGATCTCCAGGACCACGCTGAACGACTCCACCCACTCGTCGTCATGGCAGCCGGCGGCGCGTTGAGATTGGCCGGCGTGGGGGACGGGGTAAGACAGGGGCGGGCGGGTGGCGTTCTGGTAGCGGAGGCTGTTGGGCGGAGCCAGGGCCCATGATGCACTGCTCAGGGGGCGGGGCGTGTGGGTGCGGAGGGCTCCATCCACCTGAGAGAGTCAAGAGCATGAATGAGTGAATCTGTCAGTGTAAGTTATGTTTTCAAATGTTATAAACTAAAGGCTGGTCACTAGGGGTGTAGCAAAGATATTGAAATATCGATATATCGTATCATTTAATGTGATGATACATTGATATCGATATCGTGGGCTGCTGTATCGATATATCACCAAGAGTATTTTTTGATATATTTTACTCAATTATTTTGTTACAGCACTACAGTTTTGTTGCTTGTTTAGTGGAAAGAAACTCATATATGTGACACATTTAGGGCTGTCGCGGTTAGGGAATTTCTCCTGCGGTGTGGTATAGCGACTCAACAGCGCGGTATGCGATGATATCGCACTACCTCACCCCCCCCAACCCCTGGAGTTATAATATTTCCAGCGGCTCTGAAAACTCTCTCCGATAATGCCCTTGTTGCAGATGCACATGTACCTTGGTTGTCATGTGGATATAGCGTGTGTACGTGGGACATTTGGTTTTGGAACAAATGCCACTGCATCTCTCCAGCTCTTTCTGTGGCAGCATCAGTCCTGCACCAGGTCAGGTACCCGCAAACTTAAGAGAGAGAGAACCCCAAGCACGTGGAGCAGGGTGTCCGCAAAGTGCGATTGGGCGACGGCTGCACTTAACTCCATGTGGTGTGGAGCTCTGCGCCGGTTGTTAATCGAGAGGAGTCAGAGAGCGATAGACGCCTTCTATCATTCAGTCTCTTTGAGAGCGAGGGAGAGTGAGGAAAACAAAGAAGCATGCAAATAGAATTTATCATGGCCGGAAAAGTTATCAAGCACGTTAAAATTTATTGTACGATTAATTGATTTGTTGATTATCGTTACAGGACTAATTCAGAACTATAAAATCCAGAACACTTAATTCGGAATGAAAAAACACCATGTAAACGTGGTGAGTGAGATGTTGTGCCCTCAGACTTGCCCGGTCCTTTACCCTGTGGATGATCCGATGCTGGCTCCTCACGGGCTGCCTCCTGCTGCGGACACAGGAGATCCAGAAGGCCACGCCCCCTCTGTTTACAGCCATTCAGCAGCAGCAGCAGGGCCTCCACCACTCACTCATAGACCATCCCAGCTCCACACACACACGTACACACACGTGCACACACACACAGAGCTCCTCACACACTCGCTGCAGGCTCCGAGGCGTCTTTGCTTCAGAAATCAGTCTACGGAAACAGAAGAGAAGACGAGCCAGTGAGAGATTGTACAGAACAATCTAAAAAGAAATCTACTGAGTTACAGAAGTGTGCAAAAATATCAAAATATCAATATATCGTGTCGCTTAATGTGATGATACAGTATCGAAGTCATGGGCTGCTGTATCGATATATCACCAAGAGCATTTTTTTGGTGTATTTTCTAGGGGTGTAACGATATCGAAGTCTGACGATACGATATCATCACAGTATGAACCTCACTGTACGATATTTATTGCGATATCATGGGAAAGCTCACGATATGGTGGAGAGGCTCACGATTAGGGATGTAACAATATCCAAATAGTACAATATTTTCACAATATACATCTCACGGTACGATACTTATTGTGATATTTAGTGGAAGCCTTGACAAGTCTTAAAGGATGTATGGAGGATTTTTTTTTGTTTCAAATTGTCAGTGAAAGTTTAAAATACTATTACAGAGACGCAGCAGCCTTGTAATTATGATGACCAAAAAAAAAAAAAAAGAATGAAAATCTATCAACTGTGGACATAGTGAGGCCAGATAAACATCAGCCAATAGATAATGAGACTACCTCTTTATCTATTGGCTGTTAGGTTGTCAATCAAACTCCCTCCATTTCTAGTGTAACTGACTCGACGGTGTGCGGGGATTACGTGGTTTATGAAGCGGTTCTTAGAGGCTTTTTCAAACTGTAGCTTCCTCGCAATTCGCACAAAGTTTATTGCGATGGCGGATGAGAATCCATGACCAGTTCGCCGCAAAAGAAAGTTTTGAGTCACTGAAAGAAGAAGAGAAGGGGAAAAGGAGCGAAGCCAAACTGAGGTGATTCTTGGAGATTCCTTCCAGCGATGGCGCGACTGAAGCAGACGAGGAGTCTAAAAACTGACGCGTCGATCGCTGAATTACTTCTAGACAGGTCACTTCAACAGTAATTCTGAACGCGCACTGACTGTAAACAAGCGTGATTTCTAGAGTAAGGAGGCGGGAGGAGTTGTTTCTACTGAGGGAGCTGTGGAGGAGGAAGGTGGTGTCATGCATGAACAACATTTGAATAAGGAGTGTCGCTATATTTCTCTTCCCTTAAAAAATCTTCTATACAACCTTTAATCCAAAAAACTAAGACTTAAAAGTGCGCAGATTTGTTATTTCTTCTTATAGTCTACACTGAAATGGAGCAAAGGATCATGGTCTATGTAGTTCTCTCCAACATGGTTCTCTACACCATAACTCTTAATTTAAGCAAAAAGACTTGTAATTCGATATATTATTCTGAGAACTTTGACGATACGATATCACGATATTGCAATTAGTGTTATATCCCTAATATTTTACTCAATTATTTTGTTACAGAGCTACAGTTTGTTGTTTGTTTAGTTGAAGGAAACTTATTTATGCAGCACATTTGACATTTTCATTGTTTTGATGAGTAAAATGGGTGTGTTTCATATGAACTTTGCACAAGAACTGGTTTAACAAAGACTTTTAGAATTGCAGCCATGATTTAGTCTTTATTTTTATCGTATCTAAATGAAATATATCGTATCAAATCAAAAGTGCACTGTATCGAGGTATCGGCAGCTTCTCAATGACACCCAGCCCTACTGTGTTATGTTTTTTATTAATCACAATTTTGGGTCATTTTTCATCATTGGTACTTTTTCTTTGCACCAGTAGGGAAATATTTGTTATTTTTCTCTTCTTCAATCAGATTTGAGCTGTAGAGTGTTGAATAAATAACTCTATGACTCATGGTAAATACAAACTTTCTGCTATTTCTTCATGGGAGTTTCTGTTTTTTAGCCATATAGTATATTTAGAAAAGTCTTGGGCAATAATTCTACTTTACGGTTTTATCATCTATAATTTCTTCAGCAATATATCCTACTTCAAAATGCGTTATTGTGATCTGTTAGGAGCTTCAACTGCAGACAGAGAGTGCCCGGACACAACACTCTCATCCATAAAATACAATACCATATAAATAAATGATTAGCTTGTTATTACTTTGACTAAAAAGCATCAAGCCAATGTTATGGATGAGGTCAACAATCACTTTTAAATAAGTAATAAGGCCACAAGATTAATCACAAATGAATCAAGACAGCAATTTAAAGAGACACAGTTAGCAAATTGAAAAGACTGCAATTTTTGTACTATAATTTCCTACACAAACAACAAATTCTTCTGTCTTGTTTTGCATAAAAGCTGCTAACCCTATAATTCTGAACAAACATGCTCTGAAATGTGATCTTTGTATTAGTTTGTCACTTCAGATTGTAGTGTTTTTGTCGGCTCTTCTCGACATGTTTAAAAGTGTGAATAGAATCCTATTAAAACATATATTGCACCATAAATCTGTTTGTCAGAAAAACTGTAATGAGATAAATATTCCAAACAGGTCAGCTGTAAAAAGTAATTCATCCCATTTTTATGTCAAGCTGAACGGGAACAGTTGGTTAAAACCCTCACACTCTCCACGGGGTCACATAGACTCAAAGAAACTTTTTTTTTGTGACCCAGAGGAGAGCGTGAGGGTTAAAGGTTTAAGGCTAAGTTTAAACTTCCATCAGAGCAGTAAAGAAGGATGTAGTAATATTAACGATTAACAACAACCAGCAGGTTTATGATTCAAACATTTGTCTGTGGAAAGTGTTTTAACATCAACTCAGAACTGTCTCTAGACACTGTTGGGGCTCTGGGCAAGATGGGGTTTGGGGGCCCAATGCCAGAAATTCAGTGATGATTTTTAAAACGTTAATTTTGTAATATGACAGTTCATATTGTGAAGTCAACAATTCACTGTTTTATAATAAATGACTTTTCCAGCCCTGTTGGTTGAGACAGTCTGGTCCTTTGGGGCCCTCTGCAGCTCAGAGCAACAGGCCTGGTTTTGCCTTCCCCATTGTGGCAGATCGACCTGTCCTGTAGGCGTAAATAAGTTATTGCTCAAACCTGGCACATGACGCATTTCCTCTTTTAATCAGGCTAATGATCAACTATAAGATAAATGTAGATTAAAATCTGATGGAGGTACATGTTGTCATGTTCCTAAAACACTTCGTTGCTCAAGTTACTGTGACGCAGCAAGAGGCCAAATTATGCCGTGTCACTGCTGCCTCTGGGAATAACAATTAGAAATACCTCTTGACATTTACTGTGGTACAGAACTCACACAGAGATCTGTGAACATACAAGATAAGTACCCACAGAAGAAACAGACAGGATGAAACTCAGCCAGCAGCACATGACCAGCACAGACCACAAGCTTACAATCAGACGCTGGCTTCACTCGGCCAATTAGGATCCAATTACGTCCACACGAGAGTTTGGAACGAGCAGAGGAACTACTGAACTGCACTGAGATCTGGGCTCTTTGGACTAGAAGGAACTATAGTACTGCAATTGCGATTACAAGTGCGATAAATATTTTAGATTTGAGATAGTGGTTCTCTTTACGGGATATGAAACTGCATAAATGATCATGGTTTTGGTGATGTGTCATAGTTCACATGTAAGTGTTCACATCAGCGTCACCAGAGCATTTGTTTATTTTACTTACATGGGACACAGACTGAAAACTAAACAACAGCCACATGCTGTGCTGATAGATTTTGGGAGATTAAAACACCTCCTCTAGCAGTCTTAACCTGACAGAGATCAGACATAAACAGAACACAGCAGAAGCCAAATGATTTCACCATACACCACCATACACAGCTTACTCTTTACATTTGGTTTACAGGAAATGTTCTTATGTATCAGCTGCATGACATGAGTCTGACTTCTGCATTTATGATTTGAAGTTTTGCATCTTTGTCTTTCATATTCCTCCATAAAGAACAGTTGACCCTATGTGAAGTCAAAGGTTCATTCTAATAGTAACACAAGCGCTTGGACCCATAACATGTCTTTCCTTGAAGTGAAATGTAGAAGCCACAAAGGCAGTGAGGCTGATGTTTCGTCCATTTAAGGTCAGAAAACCTTGAGGATTTCACTATAGACGTAACAGCGTGACAGGACACATGACCGTGACAGCTTTAGAAGTCTGAATGAAAAAAGCACGTGTATTTACGAGGCACTGGTTCACGAGGGTTGGATTTCTCCTTCAATGTTGACAGCCCTGACATAACTGTTAGCTTACTAGCATTAGCACGTTTTACAATGAAACCCAATGAGACATGCTAGCAGGCTAAGCTAACGAGTGTTACCCAGCTAAGCTAACCGCTGAGTCTCTCTCCGCTTCACCCAAACTCCTGTTTTTATTTGAGTTTCTTCAGAGAAAACTCACCGGACTCCTGCTGCCCGCGGCCGTCCCCACGTCCCGGTGCTGTTCGGTGAAAGGCCGAGGCACTGCGGCGTAAACAGACCTCTGTTATCCAAATGTCACAACAGTCCGCCCGGTGTCCTTGCGCTGCGCTCTGGAGCTCCAAACACGGCACCAGCGCGGCACAAGCGCGGCACGCTGCTGACGCCAGGAGCGCACAGGAGCGCGCACACAGAGCGCACAGAAGGGCGCACACAGAGGAGCGCACAGAAGGGCGCACACAGAGGAGCGCACAGAAGGGCGCACACAGAGAGGCGCACTGCTGCCCTTCGCCTGGGGACAGATGGACACTGACAAATAAGGGAGAAAGAGGAATGCTATAATTAGTCCAGTCACTCTGGAATTGCAGGAATTTGGATTGAAATTCTAATGTAATGCAGTTAATTAGGAATAAAAATGTAATTTAAAAATGCATATCCACTCACTCTAATCTAAATCAAAATCTAAACAAATGAAAAAATAAAAATAATAATAGTCTTAATTGTTTATAATAATATTTATATTAATAAAATGTATCAGTCTTTGTAATTTACCATAACCAACCAAGATTGCATTAGCTATTCTAATTTGTGTATCTTCAGCCTCTAACTCTCTTCTCCCATAGTAACAAACATGTCATGTCAATCTCTAGATAGAATTCACTCCTTGTATGCTGTAGTCACGGAATCATTTTTCTCCCCACAAAAAACTCTCAGTATTGTTAATTTTATTTTGCACCACATTTGAATAAAAGGCAGGATGACGACTCATTCAGAGCTGTCAGGATCCTAGGACAGAGGGAGGCCAGGGGCCCCATTCCATAAAAAATGTAAGTGCTGATGATTTTGAAAGCTTATTTGTACTTTGATAATTCATATTTAAGAGAAAATCTTGTTTTTAATAACACTTGTACTTTTACAATCCTGCTGGTTAAGAAAAAAGCATGTTCAAGGGGGCCCTTTGTAGCCTGGGGCCCCAGGCCAATGCCCTTTTGCCCACCCCATTGTGGCGGCTCTGAACTCAATTTTCCATTTCAGTTTTGTTTTTTAAAGCTATACACATACACACAAATGAATATGAATATTTAGCCTGTGTTTTTCTCTCAACAGAAAAAAGATTAGTCAAACACGTAAATGAAACAAAACACAATTCCAGGTATGTTTTCATTCTAACAGGGTTTAAAGCTCATAAGAGTACTGTAGGACCTTTAAGCAACGCAATCACATTGGAGCCATTTATTGTGGCAGAAAAGTTACACAATGCACCTTTAACTATTGTGTATTATTGTGCTCAAACTGAGTGAGGTGACACAGCCTATGCAGATGCTCAAAATAAACCATCACTGTATCCCTGAATGACCCACGTCTCCTGACACCAGACCCACTGCACCAGACTATAGACGGAAAGAGAAGATAATACTCCAACAGGCTCCTACAGCTCCACTCAAACACTGAGAGATACAGAACTACACTCATACTATAATACTCCCTACAACTATACAACTCACCTTTATGTAACAGATAATACTCCCTACAACTGTACAACAACTCACTCTTATGTAACAGATAATACTCCCTACAACTATACAACAGCTCACCCTTATATAACAGATAATACTCCCTACAAATGTACAACAACTCACCCTTATGTAACAGATAATACTCCCTACAAATGTACAACAACTCACCCTTATATAACAGATAATACTCCCTACAAATGTACAACAACTCATTTTTATGTAACAGATAATACTCCCTACAACTGTACAACTGCTCACCCTTATATAACAGATAATACTCCCTACAAATGTACAACAACTCACCCTTATATAACAGATAATACTCCCTACAACAGTACAACTCACTCTGATGTAACAGGTAATACTCCCTACAACTGTACAACTCACTCTGATGTAACAGATAATACTCCCTACAACTGTACAACTCACTCTGATGTAACAGATAATACTCCCTACAACTGTACAACTCACTCTGATGTAACAGATAATACTCCCTACAACTGTACTTTATTACTTTTTTATTTTATTACTTATTTTTCTTTTTTCTTTTATTTTGACTTGTATGTTTATGTTTATATAATTATGTCTTATTTCACATCTGTCTCTTGCTCTTTTTTGCTACTTATTTAGAATTTATTATCACCATTTATATTTTTTTTATATTTTTGTTATTATATTATATTGTGATCTGTGAGCTACTGTGTCCAAATAATTTCCCTTGTGGATCAATAAAGTTTGTCTAAGTCTGAGTCTAAACTGGTCAAAAATAGGGACACCTGGGACGTTTCTTGTATAAAACTGGGAAAAATCAATAGTTTTGGATAAATCCACTGAGACAGGGGACACAGGGCTCAAAACTGGAACTATCCTGGGTAAATAGGGACGTCTGATCACTCCACATCACTGTATCCTTGTATGACCCGTCTCCAGTCGTGGGGAGTAACAGATTACATGTACCGGAGTTATGTAATCAGAGTACAAATTATGAGTAACTGTATTCAGTTACAGTTACTGTTTCCACTTTCCAATTCCACTCATTGCCGGAAACTAAACCAGGACTAAACCAGGTCTAAACCAGGACTAAAACCAGGTCTAAACCAGGACTAAAACCAGGACTAAACCAGAACTAAAACAGGACTAAAACCAGGTCTAAACCAGGACTAAAACCAGGTCTAAACTAGATCTAAACTAGATCTAAACCAGGACAAAACCAGGACTAAAACCAGGTCTAAACCAGGACTAAAACCAGGTCTAAACTAGATCTAAACTAGATCTAAACCAGGACAAAATCAGGACTAAAACCAGGTCTAAACCAGGACTAAAACCAGGACTAAACCAGGACTAAAACCAGATCTAAACCAGGTCTAAACCAGGACTAAAACCAGGTCTAAACTAGATCTAAACTAGATCTAAACCAGGAAAAAATCAGGACTAAAACCAGGTCTAAACCAGGACTAAAACCAGGACTAAACCAGAACTAAAACAGGACTAAACTAGGACTAAACCAAGACTAAACCAGGACCAAAACAGGACTAAACCAGGACTAAATCATGCTGTGTGGACGTGTTTCCTCCTCTTCGATCAATAATATTTTTTAATTTGGTTAAGTAAAGTCTTACATTGAGATTTCCTCGTCTTTGCTTCTCTACAGTAAAATCAAGAAATCCAAAGTAACTCACCTAAAGTAATTTAATGGATTACGTTACAAAGTACATTTTGGGGTATGTAATCTGTAATCTGTAGGGGAATACATTTTAAAAGTGACCTTCACAACACTGCCCGTCTCTCATTACGAATAGATGAGTCTGTAGGTGCGCGTTGCCTCCTCCGGTCGACAGGGGGAGCCAGCGCGCCCGAGCCCGCACAGCCGCGCTCTCTCCCCGGCGTAGAAGCAGCGCACCGCACCGGCACCATCCGCACTGACTCGGGGCCCGTGACATGTGAGCGCGGCCGTAACAAGCGTCACACCGGAGCTTTACGAGTGTTATTTATCCACACATCCCCCCGGTACCGCCATGCCCAGGAAAGCCAAGGAGGAGGCGGAGTGGCTGGACGACGAGGCCCCGCCGGCAGCCGCTGGTAAAGACGCTTACGTGTTATCCAAGCGGTCCGCGTTAGCATCGGAGCTAACTGTAGCGGCACTGCGTAATGGAGCAGATGTCAGGAGATAATAAAGTCAACAGAGCTTTAGAATTAAAATTAGAATTATATTAGGCAAAATATAGAAACGTTTCTTCTGTATTTTGGCTAAACAAATGTAATTTATGCTTCTCTGGTTTAGATCTGATGTATAGTCCAAGTTTAGTCCTGGTTTAGATCTGGTTTAGCTCTAGTTTAGATCTGGTTTAGTCCTAGTTTAGTCCTAGTTTAGACCTGATATAGTCCTGTTTTAATCCTAGTTTAGACCTGGTTTAGACCCGTAATAGTCCAGGATTAGTCCTGGTTTAGACTTGAAATAATCCAGGTTTAGACCTGCTTTAGACCTAGTTTATACCTGAAATAGTCCTGTTTTAGTTCTGGTTTAGTTCTAGTTTAGACCTGCTTTAGACCAGGTTTAGACCTGATATATTCCTGGTTTAGTCCTGGTTTAGACCTGGTTTAGACCTGAAATAGTCCTGGTGTAGTCCTGGTTATACCTGGTTTAAACCTAGTTTATACCTGAAATAGTCTTGGTTTAGTCCTACTTTAGACCAGGTTTAGACCTGATATATTCCTGGTTTAGTCCTGGTTTAGTCCTGGTATAGACCTGGTATAGACCTGGTATAGACCTGGTTTAGACCTGGTTTAGACCTGGTTTAGACCTGAAATAGTCCTGGTGTAGTCCTGGTTATACCTGGTTTAGACCTAGTTTATACCAGAAATAGTCTTGGTTTAGTCCTACTTTAGACCTGGTTTAGACCTGGTTTAGACCTGGTTTAGACCTGGTTTAGACCTGGTTTAGACCTGGTTTAGTCCTAGTTTGTACCTGAAATAGTCTTGGTTTATTCCTACTTTAGACCTGGTTTAGATCTGGTTTAGATCTGATATAGTTCTATTTTAGTCTTGGTTTAGTCCTGGTTAAGTCCTGGTTTAACCCTAGTTTAACCCTAGTTTAACCCTAGTTTAGACCTGATTTAGACCTGCTTTAGCTCTGGTTTAACCGTAGTTTAGCCCTGGTTTAGCCCTGAAATAGACCTGATATAGTCTTGGTTTACTCCTGGTCCTGGGACATTTCTTGTATAAAACTGGGACAAATTGCTGCTTTTGTATAAATCCACTGGGACAGGGGGCACAGGGCACAAAACTGGGACTGCCCCAGGAAAATAGGGACGTCTGGTCTAATTAAAGGTGTCATATTAAGCAAAATTGACTCTTGTGAGCTTTAAGCCATGTTAGAATGTTGTTGCATCATCCTGTTTCATTCACACATGTTTGAGTAACCCTTTATTATTAGTCTGTTTACATCTCCAAAGCAAAGCAAAATGCTCTGTTCCACCTTGTGATGTCATGCAGCTGTAGTTTTCAAGACACTTTTTACCTTTGGGCAGTGGAGTTTGGCAAATCCATTATTTTAAAAAATGATCCAAATGATTCTAGTGAAGGTGTATGAAGGAGTATTTTCTGTTTAAGAGAAGAACTCAGACTAAATATGCAGGGTTTGTTTTTGATGAGGGGACAACATTGTAACATAGAAGTGTGATATGGGCCTTTTAAACCCAGAAACACAATCGCCCATCTATGTTTTTAAGCATATATGAACTAATATTTGACAAATTCATTCCCAAATTCACAAAAAAGAGTTAAAAAAGCCATAATTGCTTCATGAATATTTGGCAGAACCTTCCATAAATGATGTAACTCCACTGTAATGCACTGGAGACAATTGTCACTTTAATAGTAGTTTGTATGATCAAGATTGTATAATGTATGTTTACCCAGCAGCCTGTTTGCTCTCACAGCTGTGGAGGACACAATGGCATTTGCTGACTCCAGAACTGAATAGTTTTGAGGGATTTGGAGCTTCTGAACAATAGAGCTCAGGATCGTCTCTTCACACATCATGGAGCAGTCTAATGTTAAACCAGTGGCGATTTTAAGATGTTAAATAACAAACACAGTGCTCACTCAAAAGTATTCTGACCCTATAAAGCTGATGAGTTGTTGATATGATACATGCATCTGTACAAATAACCACGATACGATACATATTCTTGATACAATGAGCTTACGATTCGATACGATTCAAGTCGATATATTTCAATTCAGTTCGATACTGTTCAGTTAAAAAAAAAAAAAGACTAAGTCATGGCTGCAATACTAAAGTCTTTGTTAAGCCACTTCTTGTGCAAAGTCAATATGGCACACACCCATTTTAATCATCAGCACCGTGAAAATATCAAATGTGTCGCATAAAGGATAGGGATGTGACAATAACCAAAATATCGTGATATCGTATTCATCAAAAGTCTCTCAATAAAATCGTGGACCATCACAATATATCAAATTACAAGTCTCTTCGCGTAAATTTATTGTTATGGAGCAGCAACAGGACAGAAGGAACTACATAGACCATGATCCTTTGCAGATTACTTGAAGAAATAACAGTTCTAAGCAGTTTTAGATCTTAGTTCTTAGTATTATCAAGGCATTTTAAGAGGAAAAAGTCGCATATTCGCACTTTTGTTATAGTTCACAAAATATCACAATAAATATCGTACCGAGAGATGATTAACGTGAAAATATTGTACCGAGAGATTTGGATGCTGTTACATCTCTAATAAATGAGATTCCTTCTTCTAAACAAGCAACAAAACTGTAGCGCTGTAACAAAATAAATGAGTAAAATATACCAAAAAATACTCTTGACGATATATCGATACAGCAGCCCATGATATCAATACTGTATCATCAAATTAAATTATACGATATATTGATATTTTGATATTTTTGCACATCCTTACTCTCTTGTGACTATTCCTGAGGAGTAATTTGACGGACTGTGTTTACTCTATTTGTGTGTTTGAGAATAAAATAATTTTTGCATGTCAAATGTGTAATTAATACAATATATATAAAGTTGTTTTTTTTTGTCATAGATTAACTAACTTTGTTTCATAAAGTGTACAAGTCAGGGGGATTTTCCAGCTGGTTTCTGCATGTGTAGACCCATGACTGTGTTGGTTTGTCCACAGGAATAATTTTGCACATTAAACAAGTTATCCATGACATTTCAGGGAAGAGGCAGTGAGAAATTGTGTGAAATTCCTACTTTTCAAAGCAGTTTAAATGATAAGAATCCATTTTGATTTGGAAAAAAAAGTTTTCAAGGTCCCAAAATGGAAATATTAAATAACTGTTTTCTTTTTTTTATCCACAGAAAAAACTGTGAAGAAGGGCAAGAAAAATAAGAAGGATAAAAAGAGCGTAAGTAGCATTTTCATCTCATTTTGACCTTTGAGAAAATGTATCAGTCAACTATTTAATAACCTCCATAAGGCTTCCAGCGGCTATTTTCTGACTCTCTGACCGATATTAAACCATAATCCGTTCCATTCAGCTTGTTTCCAATTGCATTTAATCACTGAATTCCTGATCTTTGGCACAAACTGTAACATTTCCCTCAAAGTAATCGGAAAAACTAATCTTCACTGAACACTGGAAGGGTCAAAAGGGTCACCTGTTATTTAGGGAATTAGAGTAAATAAAAGGGGGAATAATTGTGAAAATTAAAACAAAAAATCAAGAAGAACATGTCTTTTAATTTCTCGTGCCTAACATTTGTGGCTCCTCTTTGCTGTTCATTTTTCTAAACTGAAACTGTGTCTTTGCTTCAGTTCTTTGAGGATCTTGCCACAGAAAGCAAATCGGAGAAGACAGAGGAGCCTCCTGCTAAAGAAGCACAGGGGAAAGGAAAGGTGAGACACGGAGCCATTTTAAAGCTTTTATTTCACACTGTATTCAGGCTTTTCAGGTGTTTCTGTACAGCTTTTGTTTAGTGCTCAATATGAGTTTACAGTATTTGCAAAACAATTCAAACTCCCCCCTACAAATCGTCAGCAGAGGGCACAAGGACTGCTTCTGCTGGGACACTACAGGGTGATATTGTTTGATCTTGAGTATAGTCTGAAGGTGTAGACTTTAAAAACACAGAGTAGTTAAGTAATTACCACAAGATGACAACACTGGGGTTGAGCTTTTTGAATTGGCTGTATCCAAATTTTGATACGGTTAAACCTTCTCAGGATTTTACCAGGTTAAACAGTATTACCAAAATGTTTTAGTACGACTTTGGTAAACTAGGAAGCCATACAACTATACGGTCTGTGCTTATGACCTGCAGACGTATAATCTCTGAAAAGTTTCACATGAATCATCTCCAACGTGATACATGCACAGAACAGACTCACCATCAGAAGAACACCCCTCTGTCACAGAAAGAACACTCATATTCCACTGAGTCGTGTCCTTTAGTTCGACAGAAGCTTTATACTTTATACTAGGGATGGGCATGATTAGTCGATTAATCGATAATTGATCATTAAGAATTTCATCGATTACGTTCATTTTAATCGACAAACCGAATGTAGGTTGCTGTGTGTATCGTGACCAAACAGGGTCTGTACATGTGTCTCTGCATCAGAAGGAGTGAGACACAAACAGTGGGTCAGTCTGCAACGTACCAAAGCGCAAATGTGTATTTAACGATGATTTGTACAAGAAAATCCACGCTTTCCGTTGCGTTCGGGACAAGTGTGAGTCCATGTGCACAGTGTATAAAGCAGGAACATATGTTTCGGTGTCCAGTGGGAAGAAATTTTGCCAGGTGAGAGTCGCGCAATGTCGATGACGAGTCCCCACCTCCCTCCCCCCGTACGGTGTCCTGGTTTTGACAAACGCAAATATGGTCACACTAACCTGTATTCACCTGAGTCATGTCTTTTAATCCGACAGAAATTGACCGCATCAGCGATACAAGAGCTGTAGTTTTATCTTCGCTGAGTTTATACAAATTAGCGATGTGGTTTTAAGTTTTGTTTCTGTGAGAGTTGCGCAAAACTGAATTAAACACATTATAATGTCAAACGGGCTGATGTGGCTCTAGAGTCGTTACGGTTTATATGTCGTAAAGTTGAATTTATTTATGCAGATTAGTAGTGCAGATGGTAATAATAATGATGATCATTTTAATATAAAAACGTTAATGATTAATCGATAATCGATTGTTAATTCTTCCGACGATCGATTAAGAAAATTTCATCGAATGCCCATCCCTACTTTATACACTTTATAGTTTATGCAAATGAGCCATGCGGTTTTAGTTTTCATTTCTGTAAAACGTAAACAAATGTGCACCTGAAGCCAAAATGCTGCCAAATTGCAGAAGTGCTACTATTTTTTTTAGGACCAACTTACTTGCGGTCGGACTTGCCGTCTTGTCTTGTCTCCCTTATGAGCTTCATTTGACAGCGGAACGAAATGAATCAAACGTCATGTCCCCACGCAGTTAAAAGAAACATTATAAACACTATTAGTTTTAAATTCGTGATAGCATTAAATTGAAAATACAACCACACATTAATTTGTGCTGAGCAAAAACATTTAGGTATGAATAAATTATAGTATTATATTAGGTCCATGTGCGCTGCAGATTTTTTTAATGACGATAATGAGACTGATACTGTTGCTACTTTTTGATACCGCGGGATACCGTAATACTGTATTACCCAACAACACTGTCAATCAAACCTGGTGTAAACCCCAAAGAACCCTAAAGAAGGCACCTTATTTGTCTGTCTATCTTGATTTATGGACAAAATAGCAAAATAAAAACGCCTGGATCATGTAGAGCGGGTTAATACGAACATTTTAAGAAAATTTTCTCTGTAATTTAAGCAGTTACACAGGGAGGGGGACGTTTTTTTTTTTCTGTTTTTTTTTTTTTTTTTTTTGAGTTGATGGAGCCTTAAGCGTGTCCACGATTACTTCTATTTAGAACACAGGGTTAGCTTTGTCCATTTATATATACAGACTATGGCTTTATTCACCAATTTGTTTGACTCACTGAGAGGAATAAACCCTCGAGATGAACAGTATTCTTTCCTTTTTAAGAGAGTGCTTTGTAATTTGTCTAGTTTGACAGATTTGCCTTCTTCCTCCTTTCACCATTTCCCTTTAATAAACATCTGGCATAAATCGTAAAAGTAAATACTCAGGATAATTGAAATTGTTATATAAAACTTAATGCATTTTGACTTTTCCAGCCTCAGAAAAAGAAAAAAGACCGGCGGAAAGGCAAAGGGGCAGACGACGAGGACGAGGACGAGGATGTGACGCTGAAACTGGAGAAGCTGTCAGTCCAGCCCAGTGATGAAGAGGAGGAAGAGGAGGAGCCCGGTAAAAACACGCTCTCTGCCTTTAAAATCACTTATTTATTTATATATAAAGCTCTAACTCTATGATTTCTTATGTCACCAGTTATTGTGCCCCCTAAAGGCAACAAGAAGAATAAGGTTTGTCAAAGCGCAAATTACTTTTTTTCCCTCTTTTAGTTTAATAGTTATTGTTTTTTGCTGCATTGTAATGTCATGATAAAAGCATCGTAACAAATTGTGTGTATAATCCTGTTTAATCCAAATTATCAAGTCATACGAACCGTGTAAATTTCAGAGTTACACTTTTAGTTAAATGTGCACAGTGTAACTTCAGGTTAGGGGTTCGATGCTTTTATTTTGCTCGTATTTGTTCCACAGTACGACGTAAGCCATTAAAAACCCTCTCGAAGCTTTATAATCCGTGTATCATTCGTTCATTGGTTTTACAAAATAAAACCAAAAATAAAAAAACGAAGAAACAACTATTTTCTTCATTATTTGTCTCCAAAATCAAAATGAAAGAACGGATAATGATTTGTTTTTTCAGTTTTCGATTTTTGTGTTTAAAAGAATAATGGAAAAAACAAATAACGACCTTTTTCCCGTTTCCGTGATTTAAACTGTGACAGAACCTGGACTGAAACTGGACTTAAACTGGACTGAAACTGGACTAAAACTGGACTGAAACTGGACTGAAACTGACTGAAACTGGACTGAAACTGGAAACTGGACTAAAACTGAAACTGACTGAAAACTGGACTGAAACTGGACTGAAACTGGACTGAAACTGGACTGAAACTGGACTGAAACTGGACTGAAACTGGACTAAAACTGGACTGAAACTGGACTGAAACAGGACTGAAAAAAATGACTAAACCAGGATTAAACTGACTGAAAAAGGAGGACTGACTAAAGGACTAAACAGGAACTACTAAACTGACAAGACTGAACCAGGACTGACAAAACTGAACCAGACTGAACTAAAACAAGGACTGAACCAGGACTAAACTAAAGACTGAACCAGGACTGAACCAGACTGACTGAACAGGACTGAACCAGGACTGAACCAGGACTAAAACTAAAACAGGACTAAACCAGGACTAAACAGGACTGAACCAGGTCTAAAACAGGACTGAACCAGGACTAAAACAGACTGAACAAGACTGAACCAGGACTGAAAACAGGACTAAAACAGGACAACTAAAACAGGACTGAACCAGGACTGAACCAGGACTGAACCAAGCCTGAACCAGGACTAAACCAGGACTAAAATAAGACTGAACCAGGTCTAAAACAGGACTGAAAAAGGACTGAACCGGGACTGAACCAGGACTGAACCGGTCTCAGTCCCGGTCTGGTCCTGGTTTACTGATCACCCGACAGTCTACACAGGTGCACCTCTTTCCCCGTCCAGACACTCCTGGTTCAGTCCTGGTTTAGTCCTGGTTTAGTCCTGGTTTAGTCATTACCAGACCAGGAGAACATTTGAAAGTATTTTAAGAATTATTATTACTAACATTATGTAAGTTGGCATAATTATATATATATTTTTACTCTTTGTTATTATATTATATTGGGATGTGTGACCTACTGTGTCCAAGTCATTTCCCTTGTGGATCAATACAATTTGTCCAAGTCTAAAAATGGCAAGTAAATAATCTAATCTAAAAAATAAAACTTACTCTGAACAATTCTAGTGTGAAAGTTATGGTCACACTATGCGGTACTTTTGACCTATGACATTAATAGTAATATAATTTATGTAATTTAATATCATTTTGTAATATAATTTTTCTGTTGATTCCGTTTCTGTTTTCAGGGGGGGAACATCTTTGCAGCTCTGAGCCAAGGCCAGAGTGACGAGGAAGAGGGGAATGACTCAGAGGAAGAGGAAAAAGTAGTTAAAAAGGTAAAGTACTGGAGTTTTAGATGGTGAACAGAGTCTTTTGAATCTTGTGATTATTTTCTGATTAGTAAAATCAAAAGGGCCTATGTGACAATCCTGTAATTTTCAAGGGAAATAAACAAAAAGATTTCACATTTTGAATTTTGGAACTTAAATTATAATGAAAAAGCAATCCAAAACAAAATTTATAGAGGAGGTATTACAATTCTAAGGGGTATTAATTGCTAACACATAACACACTTAAATCACCATGTTACCTTTTATTATTCTGAAAATGCTGTATTCGCCAAAAACAACGTATTGTACAGTATGTTTAATTTATTTCCATGTCAAGTTTGTGAAGTTGTAGTGTATTATTTTAAATTCTACTCTTGTATATTTATCAAAAATGTAAAATAACCTTAAGGAGGGTTTGAATAGAGCCCCGGGGAGATCGCTAGATTACTCAAACATGCAGTGATTACACCTAAAAACCTGGTAGAAACGTGGTAGAAAGCTAAAAAAAATAAATAAAAAAAGTCAGTTTTTGAATAATGTCTCCTCTTTAATCCGTTTTCGCATTGACTTATCCTACTTTTTTGATGTACAGTCTTTTATAATTGTTTAGAAGTGACATTTGCTTTCATAAAACTTGTCATTTTAAGGCCATTTTGATGCCCAGTCCTTTTGAGCTCTCTTAATAGTAGTTTTAGTTTTCCTCCTGTAGCATTTCTCGCGTGTCGTGGCTTTGACCTCTTTTTCCTGAGTTGTGTCTCTGTGTGTCTGTGTGTAACGTCTTAATCACAGGATGTTGAGAAGGGCAAAAAGAAAGAGCAGCCGAAGAAGAAGGGAAAGGTGGGTGCACTGTTCATTTTGTCAACATGCTGTATTTTTGGACTATAAGTCGCTCCGGAGTATTAAGTCGCACCAGCCAAAAATGCGTAATGAAGAAGAAAAAAACATGTAAGTCGCACTTTCTGGGAGAAATGTATTTTCTAAAATCAGAGACCAGGAACCAACATTTAATCTTGAAAGTGAAGTTCGAGTAAAAACAATAGAACAGAGAACAACGGTCACATATGAACAGTTCTTCAGATAAACTATAACGTAAACAACAGAACAGAACAAGTGTAACAAACTCTCCATCTCACTCCAAATCACTAAGGCCGGGTGTACACTGTGCGATTTTTGACCCTTTTTGAGCCGATTTTTCGCTCGTGCGACTGTTTTGGGGATCGGGCCGAGTTTTGGCTTCAATCGTGTGTCGTGCTTCGTGTAGTTTACATGGGGTAAAGAGAACCGATTAATGACTCACGACCAGCTCCCGATCGACATTCGTAGGTCGCAAGAAAATCAAACTTGTTTGAAATCCAGTCGCCTCTCGTGAAGGTTTCGCTCTGTTGAAGTTGTTCCACGAACCGATTTGTCAGAATCCGGCAGACTGCGCATGCGCGGACACAGAAGTGGCTCAGCATTGTGTCTCCGCACATCTGTGGTTTTCTAATTCCGTGGTTTTTCTTCTTCGTGGTTTTCTACTTCCGGAACAACAACTTTAACAACTCCGGTCGTTATGTGAACGTACAGTGTGAGCAGGCAAGTCGCATCCAAGCATCGGTTCATTCAGTGTGAGAACATGATTCATGAGCTGTGAACTGTTAAACCCTGTGATTTGGTCGGACAGTTTAAGCTGGGGCTGAGTGACACGACCGAAAATATCGCACAGTGTACGTCCGGCATAAATCCATTCAATTCTTCATCCTTGGTGTCACTTCTGAGCAACTCCACGACCTCCACTTCCTCTTCTGTGTCGCTGTCGTCAGACTCAGCATCAGTTCCAGTTAGAATTATTCCGGTCTTTCTGAATCCCAACAGCATGGTTTCTGTGTCACTGAAGTTCAGGCTTTGTCCATCCATCCAGTGACTTCCAGGAAAATTTCATGTTGCATCCTCCCAGTTCCCGTGAAGCTGTGTTCTCCATCCCCACTTTTCAACAGTCCCTCAAGAGTTTCTCACTCACTCCAAACTTTCTTTCTGCTGCTGCTTACCGTTTTCAGCTGAATATTTCACTACTTGCAGCAGGACAGAGGCTCTTTCTGCAGGAGACATGCGCAGTAGAGCCAAGTAACAGTGGTACAGGAGGAACAGGAGCAGCAGATACTGACACACGAGACTAGAACCTCTCACGGCTTCACTGTGAAAAGTTTATATGTAGTTTATATAAATCGCACCAGAGTATAAGTTGCAGGAAACACCCAAACCATGAAAAAAAGTGTGACTTATTGTCCAAAAAATACGGTAATCTTTAAAAAAAATGTTAAAGGCGCTGTACTTGATTTGTACAGTCTTTAAAATTAACTAGTTTTGCTTTCTATCTTTTAAATCTAACTGACTAACTGAATAAAGTGCCTTCCTAACAACAACTAATATGCAAATACTAACCAAGCACTTCCTGATTTATGGACAATAAAACACTTTTAATTAGATACACTGCAAATTTCTCTAATCTGGCCAAGATTTTAAAACTTATATCAGGTTATTCATCTTGTTTTTAGATTTATGATCTACTTACTAGTTCTGAGATGCTTAATTCTAGTCTAGAGGTTGTTTATTGTAAGAGAATTTGTTAAGTAAAATTATCTATCCATGCAGTAAGATAATTTCACTACTTTTAAGTCATTTTCTGATAGATTTAAGTGTTTATATCTTAAGCTTTTTTGCAGTGTATAGTATATCTTTACTGGGAAAACAGTTGTGTGCAGAGCCTTTAACTATTTATTATATTATTTGTGAACAAAACTTGACTCATCTAATCATTTCAACTTCTTCTGGTCAAAAATGGAAAACCTAAACTAAATAATCACAAATAACACACTCTCTCTTTGGGTCTTGCATGTGAAAAAAAGCATTGTGGTACAAATTACAGTGGGCAGTTGCTTTCCAAAGGCCACAGTCTGATAATATGGTGAGTGTTTCTAACTTTAACTTGTTTTTTAGGCTGTGTCTGACGAGGAAGAGGAGGAGGTGGCAGTGGAGAAAGTGTCACAGAAAAACAAGAAACCTGAAGTCAAGCAGACCAAGGTTAGAACGTTAACATTCTATGCCGTATTAATACTCCAAAACTGTAGAGCGATACAGTAAACATTGTAAACCAAATTGTCATGAATACACTATTGGTCAAAAGTTTTAGAACACCACACTTTTTCCAGTTTTTTTACTGTTTACTGTCGACCAAAACATATTCTAAACTTTTGATTGATGAAAGTGTCGACCTTTGGCAGATCTAACAGCTGAACACACTCATGGCTCGTTCTTTTTACAACATAAATCAAATATTCTTCAGAAAGTTCTTCCCAAGTCTGTTGCAGAAGTTTCCATAAATGTGTGGCACTTGTAGGTCACTTCACTCTTCTGTCCAGTTCATCCCAAACCAGCTCCATGGGGTTTAAGTCTGGACACTGTGCTGCTGGACACTCACACAGCTTTACCATCTTGTTCTTTTTTCCTGAGGTAGTTTTGGCAGAGCTTGGACTTGTGTTTTGTTTCTTTTATCTGTTCAGTTTTTAACCTTTGCACCATTTCAAGCTCTTCATTGCACTTGCACGACTTGAATCGCAATAAATAACTGGAAAAAATAAGGTGTTCTAAAAGTTTTGACCAGTAGTGTACGTGTAATTTGTAGATTTGCAAAAATTACAGGTATAGTTTGTTTGTATTTATTGGTCTAGCCCAGGAGGAGGCCACTGAGAAACAGAAAATATCATGGAGGCCAAAATCCTTAACTCCATTCTGCATGATATTAATTGTATTTCTTTATAAAAAGTTGTAAATATCGTTGATTTGACGAGCTGGTGAGATTGGTAAGAGTTTATGTTATGACTAAGCAATGAAAAAGTGAAATTGCCTTATTAAAAATATCATTTAAAAAACACCTCTATAATAAAAAGATGGGTTTGTTTACAGAAAAGACAAAAATGTGGCTGTTTGCTGCAGGTGTTCCAATCAGTGGGAGCAGGTAGAGGGTGCTCTTGGAAAAAGGATTAAAACTTTAAACACAATGGAATCCAGGCGCTCCGAAGAAGTCAAAATCGCACCTTTTAACTATATTTTTGCTCATGCGATTTTTACTTCTTTAGATTGCCTGGGTTCCGTTGTGTTTTATGGTTTTGTTTACGTTCAGGAATATTGAAAGTCTTTTAGATTTTAAGGACAAAATAAAACGTTACTGAAAATCTTGACTGATCAATATGAGGAATAAAAATCACCTAGCTGTAATTTCACTCTCTTGCCTTACATTTAATAGTATGTATGTATTTTTTTATTAAAGACAGTAAAATAAAGCATTAAACAATAATCATACTCATGAGAACAAACATAAATACGTAAAATTAGACATAAAACAGAAAGTCACATCCTCCTTTTTTCCATTACAAACATTTGAAGTCACTACTTTTGTACTAGAATAATTTTGAAGATCTTTTTTTTTTAAATAAATTATCTTACATTGTTTTAAGGATTATCTATATTTTTCCAATATTAATAACTCTTATCTTGTATATTTTCTCTTTCCGTGTTTGTAGAAAGACAAAGCGCCTGAGCCCAGTGATGAAGAGGAGGAGAGCGACGGAGGAGACATGATGCTGGTAAGTCCCTCCTCTCTTTCTTTTTCTCTGTCGCTTTTTCTCTGTATGAGGTGAGACTCTGTTGATCCGTGCGTTGATTCTCTGTCCTGTCCCAGAGCGCGGAGGACGTGATCGCTCAACAGGTCCACGAGCACGGGGACGACCCCTTCGCCAACCTCAGCAAGAAAGAGAAGAAAAAGAAAAAGAAACAGGTACGCAGCCAAATGAGTGGTTTTGGACAGAGTGACAAAGTTAAGGAAACTAATAAATGAGGAAAAAAGACGAAGAGCATTTTGTAATTATTTGTTGTAAGTGGCTGTATTTGACTTTGAAGGAGTTGAGGGGTCATGTTTGAGTAAACCTTTATTCTTAGTCTGTCTCCGAAGCTCAAAATGCTCTGTTCCACTTCAATTTTGTTGCTGATTTAGTGGAAGGAAACTTGTTTATGCAATACACTTGACGTATTCACTGTTTTGATGTTTTTTTTTTTTTTTTTTTTTTTTTTTGATGATTCTTTAATTTATTAAGATCAGCAGTGCAAATAAACACTTGGAACAATCCTTGAAGGGTTATTATATTAGTTATTATTCAGGTATAGAGTCACCAGAGTCCATCGTTCTAAAAATAAGTCAATTTTCAGCTGAAGTTTGTCAGTCAGCTGTTCCATGATATAGACTTGTTTCAGTCTTGTGTCTATTCTTTCCTTGTTGGAGGGGAGGGTTTCCCCCAGTTATCATTTTTCGTGCAATCGTCAAAAGATTACGAAGAACATACTGTTACTTTTACACATACATTATCTGACAATGCTCCGAGTACGTAATATCCATGGGGCGTTCACAAAACGGTGTCTTTTCTGTCCTGCCAATAATTACAAAGAACTGGACAATCCCAGAAGATCTGTGAGTGATCCGCCACAATTTCTCCAACATAATGGGAGCATGTTTTTGTAGAAATTTTATATGATTAAAGGGCTCCTGAAATATCAAATTTTTGTCGTCCAGTCAAATTCCTTTCATAGATACTGTTGACACCTCACTGTTTTGATGATTAAAAGTTAGTTTATTTATTTAATGAGATAGGGACAGTGCACAATTTACATCAACCTTAACAACAGAGATGCATTGTACCAGGTTGTGGCACCAGTGCTAATTTCCACCTGTTGTCCCTCAGCAGGTTAAATGATTGATTGTATTTAATTGACCTTAGCTTTCAGTTATCAGCTGTTCTTCCTGGAGACCTGTGTTGCATGTTTTGGGTTGATGGGGGAAACCAGAGCACCCAGAGGAAACCCAACGAGGAGAAACGTGCAAACTAGATGTATAATATGAAAATGAAATAAATGTATTTCATATTAACTTTGCACAGGCTGCACTTTAATAAAGAAATATCGTTATTAAAATGTATTTGTTTCTTAAAAAACAGTAATGTAACAGAGTATATGTTCAGTATATAGGTTATCACATGTATCGCTGTATCGTGAGCCATGTATCGAGTATCGTATTGAATCGTGAGTGACACTGACTTGTGTTGCAGCTGGAGTACGAGCGTCAGGTGGCCAGTGTGCGCGCTCAGAACGCTATGGAGGGAGACTTCTCCATCTCTCAGGCGGAGCTCTCCTCCAGACAGGCCATGCTCGAGAACGCCTCGGACATCAAGGTACCTGCAAAAACACACACAGCACAGACACGACTGAGAAACATGTTAGACGTCTTTTAGGTTTGATTAGTCAATTATAAAAGCTGTTACTGTTTTCCAGTCCAATCCAACTTTATTTTACAGCACTTTTTATAAACAAGACAGCTGCCAAAGTTGCATTTTTTACATTTAACTCTAAAAAGTCAGCAGAATTATGTTCCAAACAAAAGAAACTAATAGAATTTATAGATAAAAGAATAATAAAATTTATAAAAAATATAATAAAATCAGTAAATAAATGCAGTACTAAAAAAATAAACAATTCAATTTATCTGGAAATATCTTAAAATATCTGGAAATTCACAATATTTATCTCATTTTGTGTAGTTTTGACTGGTTTTAATGAATTAATTTTCTAAAGCAAATTATTTTACACTAGAATATTTAACTTGTAATGTTTTTTTTATTCCACTGGCTAAAATAAGAAGCAAACTATCCATAATTCAGTTCGGTTTTTCATTTTTAAAAATCTTAAAACGTAACTTAATCTAGATAATATTTGTTGCAATTTGAAAGCAGTTTTAAGTGTGATGTTGTAAAGTTGCACTGAAGTTTTAAATGTTGATTCTCTTGTCTCTCGTGCTCCTGTAGCTGGAGAGGTTCAGTATATCGGCCCACGGGAAGGAGCTGTTTGTAAACGCAGACCTGCTGATCGTGGCCGGGCGCAGATACGGTTTGGTGGGACCAAATGGGTAAGTACGCTTATTTATTCATCTTTCTATTCATATTATTTCTCTAATTTACCTCACTTTAGTGGACAATTGTATATTAATGCAATAAATGTCTTGTGTCTGCAGTAAAGGAAAGACCACACTATTGAAACACATTGCAAACAGAGCTCTGAGTATCCCCCCAAACATCGACGTCCTTCTGTGTGAGCAGGGTAAGTCTATTTTTATTATCCTCTAGTGCTGGTGGGAAAAGAATATTATTGTTACAACATAGCTTTAGTTAAAATGCAAGATGATAAACTAGACATAGTTTTAAGAGCATTTACATTTTTTGGCGCTGCTGTGATGGGTTCATACCAAACTGCTATGGACGCAATTGGTAAATTAGAAAAGCTGTAGTTGTTCGTAATTTCCTTCACAAACAACAAAAGATCTGCTAAAATAACCCTGTAGTTTAGATCTGTACAGACATGTTCTGAAATGGGATTCTTGTTTTAGTTTGTCAGTTCATACTTCAGTCTTTATGTCTGTTCTTCTAGAGCAGACATGTCAAACTTGGGCCTGGGGGCCAAATTTGGCCTGCGATATAATTATATTTGGCCCGCGAGATCACAGCAAATATGTATTAGAGCTGGTCCTCTGGCTACAAATAGGCTATAAAAACGACTATTTTATATGATGCTTGTTCTGGACTTAATGTTTAAGAAAAACTATTATTAAACATTTATTTTAATAAGTAAAGGTGTTTGATGTTGAAATTTTTCTATAAATATTTAGTTTGGCCCACAGCTTAGTCCCAGTTTTTAATTTTGGCCTCTGTGAATTTGAGTTTGACACTTCTGATCTAGAGTTTTACTGTTATGTTGCTAATGGCCTGTGCTGCTTTTAGCCTGTTCGTATGATTCATTTCTATTTTTTTTTTTAATTCTATATGAAATATATAAATATAAGAAGTGTTTTATATGCACATTTGTTCCAACACAACTGTGTGTGTGTTTACAGAGGTGGTAGCAGATGACACCCCCGCGGTGCAGGCTGTGCTGAAGGCAGACACCAGGCGTCTGAAGCTGCTGGAGGAGGAGAGGCAGCTGCAGGCGAGACTCGAGAAGGGAGAGGACAGTGTGGCCGAGAGACTGGACAAGGTCAGGACAATCACACTCCACTGAGTCCCCACAACATGTCCTGTCCATAAACTGTATATATAAATAGATAAGGCTAACGTACGAGCCGCTGCGTTCCAAATGGGAGGTGAGCTGTGGGCACTTCTTACTGCTTCTGACCCTGGCTCACATTGTCTGAAATATTATGGCCCCACTTCTCTGTAACTGCTGCTCTGAGCTTCGTCATTTAGTCTTAAAATGTTGGTATTAACCCGCTCTACATGATCCTGGTGTTTTTATTTCACTATTTTGTCTGTTAAAAAAAATCCTATTCTGAATTTACAGCCTGGTTCCAAATTTGCCCCTATAACCGTTCTTATAAGTTTCATTTTTTACAAATTTCCCCAAAAGGACAATAAAGTGTATCTTACCTTTTATAGCAAGGATAAAACATTCAATTTTGAGCCTAGAGGTCTCATAAATTACTTTTTTAATGCATACTAAGGCTGAATTCATGTGATTATACCGTCTGCTCTATCATCAGACATGTAACACGCAGTATTGATTTGTTTTCGTGCCTGTGCATCAGGTTTACGAGGAGCTGAGAGTGATTGGAGCGGCTGCAGCGGAGGCCAAAGCTCGCAGGATCCTGGCCGGTCTCTCCTTCACTCCAGAGATGCAGAACAGACCCACCAAGAAGTTCTCTGGAGGCTGGAGGATGAGAGTGTCTCTGGCCCGGTGAGCACAGACAACACAGACACCAGCACCAAACTTAGAACTACACAAACTTTACTGAAAAGCAGCAAAAATAGCAAAAGACTGGTGTCAAATAAGACATAATTATACAAATCGATATGTACAAGTAAAAATAAAGTAATACAAAACATATATCAGCTATAAACAAGAGATGTTTAAGGAGAAAAAGTGCAAAGATGAAGTAGTAATTGACAGGACATAGGACTATCTGTGACATAAGGGTGAGGTGTACAGTTGTAGGGAGTATTATCTGTTACGTAAAGGTGAGTTGTACAGTTGTAGGGAGTATTATCTGTTATATAAAGGTGAGTTGTTGTACAGTTGTAGGGAGTATTATCTGTTACATAAGGGTGAGTTGATGTACAGTTGTAGGGAATATTAACTGTTATAATATAAGGGTGAGTTGTTGTACAGTTGTAGGGAGTATTATCTGTTACATAAAGGTGAGTTGTTGTACAGTTGTAGGGAGTATTATCTGTTATATAAAGGTGAGTTGTTGTACAGTTGTAGGGAGTATTATCTGTTACATAAAGGTGAGTTGTTGTACAGTTGTAGGGAGTATTATCTGTTATATAAGGCTGAGTTGTTGTACAGTTGTAGGGAGTATTATCTGTTATATAAGGCTGAGTTGTTGTACAGTTGTAGGGAGTATTATCTGTTACATAAGGGTGAGTTGTTGTACAGTTGCAGGGAGTATTATCTGTTACATAAGGGTGAGTTGTTGTACAGTTGTAGGGAGTATTATCTGTTATATAAGGCTGAGTTGTTGTACAGTTGTAGGGAGTATTATCTGTTACATAAGTGGACTGTATTATATCATTTGTTTTTATGTAATAAGGTAACTTTTATTATTGTAAAAGAGCAGTTGGACCACTCGGCATCTAATTATCTAATTTATCCTCCACAAACAGGACTTGCGCTGTTGGCATGCTATTTGTTGTTGGCATTAATGTGATAATAAAACTCAGCTATGGCGTCAAAGCCGTGATACGTATTTATAAACTCATCACAATGAGTAATGAAGATGCTTGGAATACTCTAGGAACAATTTTGAGACGGTAAAAATCAGGCACAGCTTCTTTAACGTTGTTTTTTTCTCCGTCCGTTCAGAGCGCTGTTCATGGAGCCCACTCTCCTGATGTTGGACGAGCCGACGAACCACCTGGACTTGAACGCCGTCATCTGGCTCAACAAGTAAGTGTCTGTAATGGAGAAGTGGTGAGCCTTTTTTTTTTTTAAGATGGCCAATAACGATACTGGTCCATTATGTGAGATTGTGTCATATATTGGTGCTTGTCTAACAGAGCTGCAAGTGTAATCACAAAATTGAAAGGTTCTATATAACACAGAATTGACTCTTTAAGCCACAGGTGTCAAACATAAGGCCCGGGGGCCAGATCCGGCCCTCCAAGTCCTTTAATCTGGCTCTCGGCTGATTTTCTACTAAAATATTTTAATTATATTTTCTATTAAAATATTGGTAATTTTCTGCGATGTTTATCATATCAGCGTCTCCAGTGTCTCTGTACGTGGCCCCTCCCACCAGAGCAGCACAAATGAAGACTTGTCTCTTTCCAAACGCTCTTAAAGGACGATCATTTTGACTGTTGACCGTGACACCCTCATCAGCAAAATGTCAAAAATCAAAAAAGTGGAGCAGAGTGCAGGATTTTCCAAGAAAAATGGACTTATTCCTATTTGTATACAAGTTAATGTTAAAACATTGTGTTTATCAATTAAAAATAGATTTCTGTAATAGATTTTTGTTTCTCTGCACAAATATTTGAACTTATTGTTATTTTTGGGGTTTATTTGCCATTAGTTTTCTGATCTGGCCCCTTTGGGATTAAAGTAGGTTGGATACAGCCCCCGGACCAAAATGAGTTTGACACCCCTGCTTTAAGCCATGTTATAATGCTGTTCCTTATCAAAAACAGACCTGGATTTGTGTTTTGTTTCATTCACACACGTTTGAGTAATCCTTTATTATTAGTCTGTCTACATCTCTAAAGCTCAAAATGCTCTGTTCCACCTTGTGATGTCATGTAGTGGTAGTATTTAAGCTACCGTAGTTGGTTGGTCATTATTAGAATTGGATCTGGTGTTTTTCGCTCGCATAATGGGTGCAATGTTGGGCTTAATTTTCATTTAAGGCGTCTTAAAAAGTCTTACATTTGCGGTAGTCAAACCTAGAAATACATAAATTCTGGGGATACACCTGTATAAATTGAGTAGAGATAAAATTGCCCAAATTATTCAAGTGAAGGTGTGTGGAGTTTAAAAGCACTTCTTGTATCACCACATAACATCACAAGGTGTAAGAGTGTTTTCTGATTGAGAGAAGAACATGTGTGAATTAAACTTGTTACAACATTATAATATAGATCAGAAAATAGTGTAATATGGGCCGTCTAAATTGCATTTTGAAAATACTCAAGGAAATAACTTATTCTGTGAAAAAAACGCTCACCCTGTAGTTTAGATCTATATAAACATGTTCTTAAATGTGATTCTTGTGTTAGTTTGTCAGTTTATATCTCAGTTTTTATGTCAGTTCTCCTCCGTGTTCAAAACATGAACTTTAGAATAGATTTATGTTTTAATAATAGGATTCTGTTCACATTTGCAGTGCTTTTCAGGAAAATCACAATTTGATATTTTCCCCAAATTGTTCAGCCCTAAGGTGTTGCTTTTCACACCTTAGTTTTAGTCAGTGCTTTAGTTCTTGCTCAGCGGTAAATCTCCAGTGACTCAGAGTTCTGATTTCCCCTCAGTTACCTTCAGGGCTGGAAGAAAACTCTGCTGATTGTGTCCCACGACCAGAGCTTCTTGGACGACGTTTGTACAGACATCATCCACCTGGACAACCAGAAGCTCTACTACTACAGAGGGAACTACTGTACGTACCACCAACACACTACTAGTCTAGAGGTGTGGGGAGTAAACTCATGTTGTACCATAGATTGTAACTGGAGGAAGTGACCATGGAAGCACTTCAGGTGTGATAGTATTTTGACCCTCATAGTATATTGACCCCGGGGTCAACATAGCGCTATAGTAAGGTGACCCCCCGATAAGATTTTGACTCCCCTTACTATTTTCTTCAGTAGTTACTTATCTGATCATTATTTCTCATGCAATTTACTTTTATTATATATTGCTACATATTCACTTTCTTTTAAGGTATTTTAAGGAATGATTTGATGGAAAAGGACTTGGTATTTTGTGTAAATGTGACGTATTGTTAAAATTGCATACACATAGCAATCACTTATATGTGATTAAGTTACGTTTTAAGATTTTTAAAAATGAAAAACCAAATTGAATTTTGGATAGTTGGCTTCTTATTTTAGCCAGTGGAATAAAAAAAACATTACAAGTTAAATATTCTAGTGTAAAATAATTTGCTTTAGAAAATTAATTAATTAAAACCAGTCAAAACTACACAAAATGAGATAAATATTGTGAATTTCCAGATATTTTAAGATATTTCCAGATAAATTCAATTGTTTATTTTGTCATATTATGTCACTTTTATATTGTATTTTACATTGTTATGGTTTTTAGTTTACTATGTTCAGATAATCCACATGTAATTTTAAGTGAAGTTATTGATTACAGAAACCATTTAACAAACCTTCTTCTATCATCTATTTAACTACTCAATTGATCATCCCTGTCTATTTTAACAAGATTCCATATCATTATACATCACTTTGATTACTTAACTAATTAATAACAACTGATCTCATTTTCAGTAAAATATGTGCTTAAACAACTAAGTCATTTTTAACATTCAAAAGTTATAATCGACATAAAAAATGCATCTGAGTTCTTCAAAAAACACTTTTAAATATGTCAATAATATGTTTTAATTTGCAGATATTGTATTAATATTCAAAGTTTTTCTATAGAATTCAAGTTCTTTATTAATAAAATATAGATTTTCATAGGGGGGTCAACATACCATAATAGAATCCTGACCCCGGGGTCAAAATACTAAATGGTATGTTGACCCTGGGGTCACCTCACCGCGGGGTCAAAATACTATACCACACCAGCTCCATCGACTGTCGCCTCTGTCTGTGTAACTGCTGCTGTCAGACGTTCTGTTAAATGAGGTTAAAATGTTCATATTAACCTGCTCTACATGATCCTGGTGTTTTTATTTTTTGCTGTTTTGTCTGTAACTCAAGATATGAACATTAATAACAAAAAAAATCAGGCCCCGCTCCCTACTACCTTCAACAGACTCTGTCCTGTTAAAATTTGATTTCCCACACTGGTTTTAATCTAAGTTTTGCAAACCACACACCGAATTTGCAGTCAGTGTAGCTTGAGTGTAAATCAGGCAAAACAATTCTGGAAATTCAGGGATTTTTTTTAAAATAAGCAGAAACAAGCTTTTCAAATCTCAGTCAAATTCCTTTGGTTTATTCAAGTAAATATATCAGAATGATTCATTACTGCCCTCCATTGGCCAAGTCCCACACCACCTCATCTCTGGTGCTCTCTTTCTCAGTGACGTTTAAGAAGATGTACGTCCAGAAGCAGAAGGAGCTCCAGAAACAGTACGACAAACAGGAGAAGAAGCTGAAGGAGCTGAAGGCCGGCGGCAAGTCCACCAAACAGGCCGTGAGTACAAGAGTCTGCCCCAGGGCGACTGTGACTAAAGCAAGAACTTACCACCAACAACTATGGGAGGAAGGAATAATGCACAGACTAGGGTAACCAGACATTTCTATTTACCCGGGACAGTCCCAGTTTTGAGCCCTGTGTCCCCTGTCCCAGCAGGTTTATCCAAATCCAGTGATTTGTCCCAGTTTCATACAAGAAATGTCCCAGGTGTTCCTGTTTCCTACCAATTTGATACTGGCAACAGTAAAGAGAGGCATAAATTGTCATTTGTTTAGGTAAAAATACAGAAAAGCTGCTTAAAAATGACCAAAACACAAAGAAAATGTGACTATACACATGTTCATCATGAATGGTTTCTGCTTAACAGTTTTCCTTAATTACGTACTTGTTTCATTTCACTTTTTCAATTTTATTATTACCATCCACCAAAAAAATGAGGATGTCCCAGTTTTTTATTTTGAAAATCTGGTCACTCTACCACAGACTTATGTATCACTATTATTAAAACATGAACATAACCTTCAGAGCTCATTCTAGCAGCAGAGGAGTGGTGTGAGAAATTGATTTAAAAATGACAAAAGCTAAATTTGAAAAAAAAAAAAGTGATAAATCTGATCTATTTGTGTCCCAAAAAAATATGAGGAAACAATGTTATAATATGAGTTTTACTGATAACAATTCAGATTTAATCACTGGCTTGTAATTAAGAATAATCAGTGCTAGTGCAGCCTCTGTGGTATCCAGATGATAAATAATGACAAAATTGTACCAAAATTACCAAAGTGTAGTTGTTCAAATATTGTACTTTTCATCCTCAGGAGAAGCAGACAAAGGAGGCACTGACCCGCAAACAGCAGAAGGGTAAAAAGAAGGGAGGACAGGAGGAGGAGAGCCTGGAAGCACCGGAGCTCCTCAAGAGACCCAAAGAATACACCGTCAAATTCACATTCCCAAACCCCCCGCCCCTGTCCCCGCCCATCCTCGGACTGCACAGTAAGATCTACAGAACCCTGCCAGGACAAACTCTCACTGCTGTCAATCAAACTAAACATGTGCATTTCCTCAGGTGTGGACTTTGGATACGAGGGACAGAAGCCGCTCTTCAGGAACGTCGACTTCGGTATTGACATGGACTCCAGAAGTGAGTTAACGTGGATTTCAGCTCAAACCCAGGCCACGTTTGAGCTACAATAGTCAAGTACTGGTTTAAAAAACAATACTTGACTATTATTATTTTTCATTTTTCATTTTAATCAGACCTGCAAACTCCTCAGAGAAAAAAGGGTGAAAAAGGGAGGGGGGTGTTCTGCTTTAAAAAGACCATATAAACACTTAATTCCTAAGCCTTAGTTCTTAGTCTTGTGCCGTCCTCCGAGTGCGTTGGTGTTGTGAGATAGGTCCCGAGGTTCCATATCCTCCATGTGCTGGTTCCAGACGGGGGAAAGGAAGACCAGTGTGAAATGTACTGGGTCCGAGGGGTTCCGTGCCATCCTCTGGCGAAAGTGAGAATACGTGTGGACTACAGGTCTGGGCGGGCTGCTACTGTCGTCTGTGCTCAAGGACTGCGGCTGGTGCCGAGGTGGTGCAAAACATCCAGACAGAAATGCAAATCCCGTTTGGTGGGTTGTATCTTTTTCCGTCCTTTGCGCATTTGGTTCTTCCCAGGAAAAGCGCTTCTCAGGCCGAAGCACCTAAAACCACACCCTGTTCCCCGTTCCAGCTCCTCTGGGCCCGACCTGAACCAGAGCTGCTCCCTCTGGTTCAGGAGTCTGGGTTTGGACCACTGTTACCCAGTTTGTATGGGTGTATCCCCATGCATAATGACAAACCGAGTGTGTGTTTTCTTCCGGTCGACGTAAATACGTTCGTGTCCCTGTCCAATCAGAACCCTTCTCCACCCCTGATGCTGAGTGGAATTAAATAAATACGATTTAACATGTTTTCCATGTAAACTTTAATTATTATTTCTATATAATCTCGAAGGAGAATAATTTAATTCCGAACTAGACCCCCCCGCCCCAAAAGAAAAAAAACTCTCTGGTTCTTCTGTGCTATTCATGTGAATGAACCAATTGACTAAGAAAAACGCGATTGTAGCTGAAAAGTGACAAGTTTGCAGGTCTGTTTAATATTTTAGAAAATTTGTGTGTTTAAGGAATAATCTGAAACTTGAATATACAGTGAAAAACATTTGAAAGTGCTGTACAAAAATCTAATTGTAATTGTGGTCAGTAATAATGATTCTTTTCAGGAAACTAGAGAGCATTTATTTCCACTTGACTGTCACGAGTACACTATTATATTGAAACTGGAGCAGTGTATCCCCACTAATCGACGTCTCAATAGTTATTTTGCATGTCTTTGTTGTTCAGTTTGTATCGTTGGACCGAATGGAGTGGGGAAGAGTACACTGCTGCTCCTGCTCACCGGCAGACTACACCCGGTACGGACCACTGTGGCTTTGAACATGTCTGATAATAAAGAATCATGATTTAAATGTACCTAATATTTTATTTTCCAGACTAAAGGGGAGATGAGGAAGAACCATCGCCTGGTAAGTTCATGAAATCAAACTACATTAAAGAGATTAAATATAAATGGTCTTAATAAATTCTAATTAAGTGACCTAAATAGCAAGAGACCGGTGTCAAAATGTTAATAGAATTTATGGAAAATCCTCTTCTGTATCTGTAATGTCTCTTCCAATTTATGTGTCAGCCCTGTATCCTTCACATGTTTGATGCCCAGGCTAGAAATTTCTCCAAGAAAAACTTGAAAATGCACCGGTTTGTGTCAGGTTGTTTAAGATCAGCGCTTGTTACAGTGTAGAAGGATAAAATACAAATGAATGTCTTATTATACTTGATTAAATTGTGAAATAAACAAACGTCTGTGTTGTTTTTCTTGTAGAAAGTGGGCTTCTTTAACCAGCAGTACGCCGACCAGCTGAACATGGAGGAGACGGCCACAGAGTATCTGCAGAGGAACTTTAACCTTCAGTACCAGGACGCCAGGAAGTGTCTGGGCCGGTTTGGACTGGAGAGTCACGCCCACACCATCCAGATCTGCAAACTCTCCGGTACAACGCCAATACAACTCTAACCACCCACACCTACAAAGTGCATGGATAGTTAGATTTGCATAGTTTTATAAAAGTTTAGGTTAATAAACTACTTTAAAAACTCTGGTTTATGATGTGAACATGTCCTCCTGCAGGTGGGCAGAAGGCCAGAGTGGTGTTTGCTGAGCTTTCCTGTCGCCAGCCTGATGTCCTCATCTTGGTGAGAGATTTGTTTTTCTATTTTATACAATTCCGAAATTGAAGTGTTTGAGTTTGCTAAAAAAAATTAAACAATGTCATTTCTGTGTCCTTGAGTCATTCTCTTTTGTATTGTTTGGTAGGTTAAGAGCATAGAACTATAATAAAATCTGGATGGTGAACCCAAGATGCATTGTTTTCAGTGGCCTGTGCTCATGGGCCCCAAAAAAATGTTGACTTGCGCATTTACTTCCTCAATAGAGGCGAGCTCCTCCCACCCGTGTGACGCAGGTAACGTGCACGGTGTGGAGCGCTTGGACCAATCAGCGCAAGAACTGCTAGAGCGGTCTCAGAGCAGGGCCAGGCTAAATCTTACAAGATCATTTTTAGACGCTTTGGGGATTTAAACATTTTTAAAGTTTATGTTGTGAAAATAGAAAAGAATCTTTGGATCTTTGTGAAAGTTGTGGATGCTCTGTCAGCAGAACACAGGCCGTTTGAATTCCCAAAAAATGCATTGTGCTTCTACAGGAGAATTCTTTCTAGGCCCAAGCTCCCGGGAGCTGCAGTACCTGGAGCGGCCACTAGTCGGTCTCGAGCCAGGAAAAAGGGGGAAGGGCTTATCCAGTTTTATTACAGATCTATGGTTAAGAGAGATGAGTTGACTCACTTCCTTATGAAAGGATGCAGTGATGTTTCCATGATAACCACCAGACCAGAAAGTGGTGTGAGTTGTTGGGACTAACTTTAATCACAACTCCTTTGACATAAATAATACTTTAACACTTTTTCTATCAGCTGTAGTATTTTTAGTGGCACAAAGCTACTTTATGTTGTCCTCTAGTGTTTTTTTCAGTCACATTTTTGTGGGAGAATTTAAAGAACTTGTAAACTGTACACCTGAGGTTACTGAGTCTGTTTGTTTGAATCTGTTTGTTTTGTTTGTTTCATCGCATTTTCTTTGTTCTAGGATGAACCTACCAACAACTTGGACATCGAGTCCATTGATGCTCTGTCAGAGGCCATTAATGAATATAAAGGAGGTATGTGGATGTACTGGTTTGAATAGTCACACACACGAGGGCTCAGGAGAAGAGAACTTTACTGTTGAACTATGAGCCAATTCATGTTTGGCTGAGCTGAGGAGACACTGTGAATGTGCACAGATAAGATAAGACAGTGGTGAGAGAAGAACAGACGCCTCTGCCCATTTAAGAAGAAGCTCTTTTGGTGCTAAAGATAAACAGAGATGCAGGGTTTGACCGAGCATAGTAACATTTGAGAGAAAGTGAGAGATCTGTGCAAATTTGACTTAAGCGTTGTAGTTACCATGATTCACGATGACCCAGATCCTGAATCCATTTAGGTTAAAACCAACTGGATTTCAATATTGAAATTGGCAACCCAAATGACTCATTCTGTTTTTCTGGTAAATTGTCTTGAAAGTCTATGTTCAGACTGCAGGGCTTAGTGTTCAATGCAGAGTATTTTGTGAGGTCGTTCACATTTCCAATTAAATGTGATTTGTATGTGATCTCCAGTGTGAACTTTAAACACAACAAAAGTGTCCCGCATGAACACTGGAGGACACGACGACGTCACACACAGTGAGCGTGCTCAGTGTTTACGGAAGTCGCCTAAACATGGACATGGAAAAACATGAGATTGAGAAGGAGAAGGACGAGGTTTTTGGCCGTGGTGTTTTGTGGGGCAGTGGCAGCGACATCCGTTGAAAGGAACGTGGGTGCGGCGTCACAACCAAGAGTGGAGGGATTGAAATGTGCTTCACTGCTTCAGACACTGAGTTCAGGCACATGTTTCTTATGATGAGACTGTTTGTGTACATTTGTGAGCACCTACGTGTACCACTCTCGCGAGAGGAATCAGCGCAGAATAGTGATGTTTGTCGCTTGTTGATGACGTGTAGGTGGGATGAATGTGACCTGACCGTTCAGACTGAAGTCGCATGTCAAAAGATCAGATATGTATCAGTTTTAGGAGCACATATACAAGTGGCCTGGGTCGCATTTGAAAAAACTGGATCTGTGTCGTTCAGAATCATTCATTGAGTCATTAAAAGATCAGATACAGGAGCATAGGGGCGAATAAATCAGATTTGGGTCACTTCAACGTAGCCAAAAACATCATGTCCAATGTTTTTGTAACTAAGAATAAACCAGCATTACAATCAGTATAAGTATAAGGTTTATCTGATTTGAACATGTCCCTCGTATTTGGCAGAATTTAAAATGCAGACCTAATCCCATTGTTGGTCATTTCCTCACATTTCCGCCTCTCTGCCCCCTCCAGCCGTGATCATCGTGAGCCACGACGCCCGCCTCATCACGGAGACGCAGTGCCAGCTGTGGGTGGTGGAGGACAGCTCCGTGAACCAGATCGACGGAGACTTCGAGGATTACAAGAGGGAGGTGCTGGAGGCGCTGGGGGAGACGGTGATGAACAAAGCCAACGCGTGAAAACAACAACAACTCGACAACAAAACCACGCCGCAATATGGACACTAACCTGTAACAGCAACGCAAACATGTACCAGAAGAGCAGGCTGATCCACTGCAGCCAAAACTAATAAAATCATATTGCTTTTTCTTTGTTTTGGTTCTTTTCTGTATGGGCAGGCAATAAGTGTATCATTCGTTCATTTGTTTTTCAATATAAAACCAAAAATAAGAAAATGAAAAACAACTATAAAGATTTTTTTAATTTTTCAATTTTGTGTTTAAATGAAAAAATGGAATAAACGGATAACGGCCATTTCTGTGACTTAAACTGTGGTGCCGGACTGAACGAGGACTGAACCAGGTCTAAACCGATGTCAGTCCTAGTCTCAGGCCCATTCTCGGCCCTGGTCCTGGTCCAGTCCTGGTCGCAGTTCTAAACCAGGATTAAAACAACTGAACCAGGACTGTCGGGTGATTAGAAAACCGGGACTGAGACCTGGTTTAGTCCTGGTTCAGTTCTGGTTTAGAGCTGGTTTAAACCTGTTCAGTCCTGGTTTAGTCCTGGTTTAGTCCTGGTTTAGTCTGTATGCGGCCAAAAGTCAGACGTTTAAGTCACGGAAATGGGAAACGGCTGTCATCCGTTTTTTCCATTATTCATTTAAACACAAAAACTAATTATCTGTTTTTTCCATTTTGGTTTTGGAGACAAATGAAAATAGTTGTTTTTTCGTTTTATTTTTGGTTTTATATTGAAAAACGAACGAACGAATGACACATGGATTGGTGGGCAATAAGTGTATTTTTAATAATCAAAAATCAGTAAAGAATCTATCCAAAATGTGTCTTATTTGGTTGTTTTAAGTATTATGCAGTGACCCACAGATGAATGCTGCCGATATGTCCTTGGGCAAGACACTTACATCAATGTCCAGACACGGGGGGGAAGTGGGTTATGAGTTTGTGTGTGAATGGGTGAGTGGTTCCTTGTTGTAAAGCGCTTTGAGCCTTGAAGGTCGAAAAAACACTGTAAAAAAATCATCACAGTTATTCAAACGATTATTTTTTAGTTGCAGGATGCATTTATTCAGCATTTCTCTCTCAAAAAACACTTAATAATGTACACAAAACTTTCACATTGAAAATATAGACTACAAATATGAACCTCAGAGCAGTTTTGTGACATATAAAACACACAATGAATAAAATATATTTTGAAAATGAAATAAGGCATAGAAAAACAAATGTATCCAAAGTAAACTATATATCCAGCTGTTCTACAATCTATATTTAAAAAAAATAAACTTTAAGCGTTATCGTTTCAACTCAATTATAAAAGCTGAGATTGTTTGACACACAAATCAAAATTGCAAAGTTCAATTAATTTCAGTCTTACATGTGACTGCTGCCACTGATCCCAACACCAAACTCTCATGATCAATTAATTTATTTCTATCACTTTATTTATTTTGCATAATAAAAAAACAATGATACACAGTGCATAGATGACGTAAAATGATAGCTACACTAATACACATTTTTAAAAACCCACAAACAAAAAAAATGTGACAGAAACTAAACTGAAAATTCCACAAATTCTGAAACTGAGTGAGGCGACAATAGCTCAGGTTCTCGGTGTAATTCCAGCTCTCACAGATGAATGCTGCCGATATGTCCTTGGGCAAAACACTTAAATCAATGAATGTACAGACACTGGGGGGAAAGTGGGTTATGAGTTTGTGTGTGAATGGGTGAGTGGTTCCTTAATGTAAAGAGCTTTGAGCCTTGAAGGTGGAGAAACACTGTATAAAAATGTGACCAGTTACCACGTGAATACTGCCGCTGATCCTGACACCAAAATCTCATTGTCAATTAATGCATCTTTTTTTAATTTTTATTATTATGTATAATTTTTGAGGCAGCCTGTTCCATAGAAATTAAATCCAAAAATCCTTTGTACCAATCTATATCACAGGTGTCAAACAATCCGGCCCTCCAAGACCTTTAATCTGGCCCTTGGCTGATTTTCTACTAAAATATTTTAATTATATTTTCTATTAAAATATTGGTAATTTTCTGTGGTGTTTATCACAGCAGCGTCTCCAGCGTCTCTGTACGTGGCCCCTCCCACCAGAGCAGCACAAATGAAGACTTGTCTCTTTCCAAACGCTCTTAAAGGACGATCGTTTTGACTGTTGACCGTGACACCCTCATCAGAAAAATGTCAAAAATGAGAAAAGTGGAGCCGAGTGCAGGATTTTACAACAAAAATTGACTTATTCCTGTTTGCATACAAGTTAAAGTTAAAACATTGTGTTGAAATTGAATTTTTCTTAAAGTTTCAGGTTGATCATAATATTATATTTTGTAAAAGAAAGAGTTCATCAATTAAAAAATATTTCTGTAATAGATTTGTGTTTCTCTGCACAAATATTTGAACTTATTGTTATTTTTGGGGTTTATATGACATGAGTTTTCTGATCCGGCCCCTTTGGGATCAAAGTAGGTTGGATATGGCCCCGGAACCAAAATGAGTTTGACACTCCTGGTCTATATCAAAGCACTTTACAAAGTTCCTTCCGATACATCATAATACGTTTAGCTGATAAAAAACCCAGTGATATGTGGTCCAGTTTTCTTTCATATTCCAAGCAGGTACAGCAATGGGCAAGAGAGATCTGAAAATGAATGCATTTCTATCACTTTATTTATTTTGGATAATAAAAAAACAATAATACACAGTCCCCAACTCCAGTGTCCTTGATGTAAAACGCTTAGAGGGCTTTGACGGTGGGGGGGGGGGGGGGGGGGGGACAAACAAACAAAAAAAAACGCTGTGTAAATGCGACCGAAATCCAGTCTTTGTTCCTTGGCAAGTTTTAGATCAGTTTCGTAACAAATAGAAACATACACTACAGGTCAAAAGTTTTAGAACACCCTCATTTTTCCAGTTATTTATTGCTATTCAAGTCGTGCAAGTCTCAATGAAGATCTTGAAATGGTGCAAAGGTAAAAACTGAACAGACAGAGGTTAAAAAAAGATAAAAGATACAAAACACAAGTCCAAGCTCTGCCAAAACTACCTCAGGAAAAAAGAACAAGATGGTAAAAGTTGAAAACATGAAGTGTCCAGCAGCAGCACAGTGTCCAGACTTAAACCCCATGGAGCTGGTTTGGGATGAACTGGACAGAAGAGTGAAGCAACCGACAAGTGCCACACATTTATGGAAACTTCTGCAACAGACTTGGGAAGAAATTTCAGAAGAATATTTGATTTCTGTATTCGTTCATTCGTTTGTTTTTCAAAATAAAACAAGAAAAAAAATTAAAAACTTATTTTTTTAATCACAGTATTTGTCTCCAAAACCAAAATGAAAAAAGATTTTGTGTTTAAATGAATAATGGAAAAACGGCTAAGGGCTGTTTCCGTGACAAACAGATGCCGGACTGAACCAGGACTGGAACCGGGACCAGGACTTGAAATCAGGACCAGAACAGAACTGAGACCAGGACCAGACCGTGATTGAGATCGGGACTAAGACCAGGACTAAAACGGGACCAGACCAGAACTGAGACGACGACTGAAACCGGAAACAGGACCAGGACTAAGACCGGGACTGAAAACTGTTCAGTCCTGGTTCAGTCCTGGTTCAGTCCTGGTTCAGTCCTGGTTCAGTCCTGGTTCAGTCCTGGTTCAGTCCTGCATCACAGTTTATGGGAAACATCCGTTATCTGTTTTTTTTCCATTATTCATTTAAACGCAAAATCAAAAACTGAAAAAACTAATTGTTATCCGTTTTTTCACTTTAGTTTTGGAGACAAATAATGAAAACAGTTATTTTTTCATTCTCTTATTTTTGGTTTTATATTGAAAAACAAATGAACGCACGGATTTAAAAAGAACGAGCCACGAGCGTGTTCAGCTGTTAAATCTGCCAAAAGGTGGACACTTTCACGAATCAAAAGTTTAGAATACGTTTTGGTAAACAGTAAAAAACTGGGAAAAAGTGTGGTCTTCTAAAACTTTTGACCGGTAGTGTAATGTTTTGATTTATTTCAGTATCTACATATTGTCAGGGGGTCATGACTGAGGCCATCGCCCAGCTTAAAGTAGGCCGACACGGGGAAGGCGGTGCCCTCCAGGTTGGCGGTGTGGATGTGCGCCAAGGTTTCTGCGTTAAAGAAGGACAGCTCTTTCTTGGGACAGTTCAGGTAGAGTCCGATTTTGCTCAGTTTACATTCAAGATTGAGAGCCGAGGAGTGACCCAAAGTATAGATGTGAAACTTTCCATCAAGCTTCTTCAGCACACACTGAGGTATGCCCAGCTCCCAGTCGCTCCGTCCACCAGCGTACACCTCCCAGTAGTGCCGCCCGCCCAGTCGCTCAGTACTGCGTGTGGAGTTTGGAAGTACGGGGATGCGTCTTTTCCTGAATTCGTCGTTTCTTCGTGTTCCTCCATGTTGGTAGTTGCAGACTAAAGCGCTGCTCTGGTCCCGGGACACTGCCAGGCTGGTTTGGTCTATTTCGAGAAGCAGATGTTCTTCCCTGGGCTCCACCACTTGGATCATCTCCTTCCAGATGAACATCTGCAGGTGGCTCTCGTACGGCCCCAGGGACAGCTCCGTCTTCTCCACCTGCGAGAACAACTCAACGGTTAACCCAAAGCAAAATTGCAGTTTAAAAAAAAGCGGAAGTTATTCTGGGGAAGGGTCTGCCACCTGCACGTTTCCATGGAAATGTTATTGCTTTGCCAGGAATGTTCCGCAGTATGGGCTTAAACTTTTCATTGTCAGTCAAAAGATTAGACAAGTTTTTCTTTATGTTTAGCACTTTCTACTCCTCAGGAACATACGGAAGACATCAAATAATGGGGTTAATATGATTACCGTATTTTCCAGACTATTAGGCGCTCTGGATTATAAGACGCACTGTCATTAAATGATCTATTTTCAAACTTTTTTCACAAATAAACCGCACTGGACGAACGAAACACAACAGTTGGATGGGTGAGTGGTTTTGTTTGTTTGTGTCGTTCACGGTGACTCTGGGCTTTGTTCAGTTGTGGCGTGTAGGGAGGTGCTGTCTGGGACCAACGGATTGTCGGCGTGTTCGCAGTGACTCAGTTGTTCAGTCGTGTCTAGAAGTGGCACGTTGCACTCGCTTTTTCGGTTCGTTCCTCCGTTCCGTTCCTCGTCGGCGTGGAGTGATGAGTGTGTCTGTGGGTGTGTTTCGCTGTACGGTCGCTGTCTGCTCCGTGTGTGTTTGCGTGTTCTGCGGGTGGTGCGGTTTGGTGGTTTACTGAAGTCGTGCTGGGACACCCGAGTGGATTCGTGTATAGGGCGCTCTGGATTGTGGGGCGCAGACGTTTTTTGATGGGGTTAGAGGCTTAAGAACACATCTAATAGCCCGGAAAATACGGTAACTGAGGTTCAGGAGCCTCAACCTTTTCTCCAGCCAACCACAGCTTATCTCAACCACACCTTCAATTACCCAGAAGCCCTGTTTATACAGACTATCACAACAACACTGTCCACATCAGCTCTAAACCCCCTCCCTCCCCGTGTCTCTCATGGGGGGGGGTTGTCATTGCTAGTGAATATAAAGCAAGAGATGTGGAATTGTGTAGCAAAGGAAATATATATATTTTTTTACATTTTATATTCAGTTCCTCAGAGTTCACCCTTTGTTTTGTCGACAGAGCTGCAATGAAGTCTGCTGAAATGGTTTTCACTGCCAAGAACAAAGGTCGTGATAAAAGCAAAAAGGTCACAATTTTGAAACTAAAACCAGTTTTTAGTTAGTTTATATTCTGTTTTTACATTCCATACATGTTCATTCATAGTTTTGATGTCCTCAGTGAGAATCTAGAATGTCAGTTGTGGAAGAAAAGTAATTATTCTCTGGTTTTAGTTTTAATTCTGGTTAATGAATACATGTGATGTGTTTTACACTTAAAGACTTTACCCATGACACCATCAAAGGCCCCCGGGGTCTTCACCTGTTGCCCCCTGCTGCTGTCCTTCCTGATCTCAGCTGTACTTGAAATGCTAATCTTCTGAAACAATGACCATCGTTTTACCAAAAGGGGGTTTATGAGGGGGCTTTGTTATTGCTGTGAAATTCCTCCAAATGTTAATCTGCAGACTCTCCCCACCTCTTTGTGTATAAAATGCTTGCTATACTTTTGCTCATGGTCAGTTTACTCCACAGACACCATGTGTGTCAGAAGCTCACCATCTGCCTGCTTACAACATGCAACTTCTAACCAATAAAGACACCTCTACAGCAAACCAGATATGAACATGGAATTTTTCTTCTTCATCACAATAATCATGAAAATAAAGAAACTGTGTCTGAACTTTTAGCTGGCAGCAAAGCAGGATTATCCATATGTGCAGGAACATCAAATATTTCTCGTAAATTTGTGTGTTATTCAGTTTGAAAATGTTAAATGGCCATACATAACTCATCATTAACACTATTTTTTATTTGCTGGGCTGATGTAGTTTGTAAAATTACATATGACAAATGCCTTTGTTTATGTGTACTATTTTTGACAGGAAGACAGGGGTAAGTGCGTGCGTACGGCTCTGGGTGGTAGTATATATTTTGCATTTAATCAATTTAAGACATTTAAAAATTTCTTAACAAATACCTTGAAAAACATTCTTGCTCGATTTCTTAGACAAGCCCTGCCACTGTAGTAATATTTTGTGCATTACTTGTTCTTACTTTAGTTGTACTTTTCCCAAACACTTTTTTTTTTTTTTAACACTTGCTTGAGTAATTTCTTGGATCACTACTTTATACTTCTGCTTGAGTAATATTATACTGAGGTAATGTTAGTCTTACTTCAGTACAATTGTTGGCTTCTCTACCCCCTCTGATCACGACAGGCCTGTTGTTTTATTCTTCTCACCTGGAAGTTTTCTCTTTTGGGGCTGAAGGAACCAAAAGTCACGTTGAACATCTTCTCTTCAGTCCAGGTCTTCAGAAATCGCTCAGGACGGTGGATTTCCAGAGCCGACGTCACATTCGTTTTGATCTTTTTGTTCTCGGCTATGGCCTCTTCAATCTCGTGCAGGCTCTTGGTCATCCTCTGCATCCCCTGTTCCTCTGCACCCTTCACTAACGCACCGAGCGCTTCTTCCCTCTCGTTTAAAAACTGGTACATTTCTTTGAACTTGTCTCTGATCATCGTTTTGAGCTCTTGGGCACGCTGTTTGGTCCTCGTCACTGCTTCTTTCTGTGTTTCAGCGAGCGTTTCCAGAGCGTTGGTGTCTGCGCTCACGTTGTAGGCCAGAATCTTCAGCTTCTTTTTTATCAGAGCAGCAGCTTCACTCATTGGTTCGAACTTGTGCTGCGAGTGTTTCTGAGAGTCTCTGCAGATCAGACACGCGAGCTGCTGGTCATCACTGCAGAACAATTTGAACTTTTCGAAGTGTTCAGAGCACGTCCACGGTCCCGTCTGAAACAAGAGGATTTAGATCAACTACTAATATTTTAATTTATTTAATTTATATCTTCCTGGGTATTTGTAGGATTCACACTACTAGGAAAGAGACAAGATCTTGCAAGACAAAATAAATGCAAAAAAAAAAGTCAAGATCAAACTAATCGAGACCAAAAAACAGTCCAAGACCACAGAGTCCCGAGACAAGATCAAGACCATCTTTGTCATTTTCTACATTTATTTGTAGGACTGATCCAGGACCAAACTAGGACCAAACCAGGTCTAATCTTGGACTAATCTTGGACTAATCTTGGACTAATCTTGGACTTATCTTGGACTTATCTTGGACTTATCTTGGACTTATCTTGGACTTTCTTGGACTCCTCCAGGTTCAGTCCTCCAGGTTCAGTCCTTCAGTCCTCAGAGAAAGTTCAGATCCTGGTTCACCCCCTGGTTCAGTCCCCCTGGTTCAGTCCCCCTGGTTCAGTCCCCCTGGTTCAGTCCTGGTCCCTCATGTCTCAAAAATACAGACACCTGGGGCATTTCTTGTTCAAAACTGGGACAAATCACTGTTTTTTTTAAATAAATTTGCTGGGACAGGGGACACAGGGCTCAAAACCTGGACTGTCCCGAGTAAATAGGGACATCTGGTCACCCTGTTCAAATTGTGATTTATTAGAAATGTATTTTATTCGTTCCAGACTCCACGACTGCTCGCCTGTTTGTCTTGTCCGTCCTCCCTCTTGCGCTTGGTCGCCTCTCGGGTTTTCTCCGTCAGGTTCTTGAGCACGTGGCTGTTGAGGAGGTGCAGTCCGCGCGTGTCCACAGGTGCGCGGCAGTGTGGACAGGTGGGGCTCAGGTCCAGACAGTCCCGGATACAGCCACGGCAGAACGCGTGACCACAGAGCAGCGTGACCGGGTCCGTGAACAGCATCAGGCAAATGGAGCACGTCAGGTCCTCGGAGAAGGAGACACTCGTGGACGCCATGGAGCCCGACGATCCGAAAACCACGAGACCCGCGCGACAGGAAGGAAGTTATAGCGCTCGTGACCGCGGCTGAATTGGTTTGATACTGAAAATTGGAATATTCGACACATTCAAAGACATTTAATAGATTTTTTCCTATCAACTTGTGACGTCTTCATAATCATCCAGCGTATATATCACAAGACAGTAATTATAAAAAAAAAAAAAAAAAAAAAAAAATCATACTATGAGCTGATTTAATGCATATTTGTGAATTCAACACTCATTTAACTTTGTTGTATATCACAGATTTTTTTCCAAACAACTTGTGACGTCTTCATAATCATCCAGCGTATATATCACAAGACTGTAATTATTAAAAAAAAAATTAAAAAAATCATACTATGAGCTGATTTAATGCATATTTGTGAATTCAACACTCATTTAACTTGTGTTGCATATCACCGATTCTTTCCAAACAACTTGTGACGTCTTCATAATCATCCAGGTATATATCACAAGACCGTAATTATTAAAAAAACAAACAAACAAACAAAAAACATTGACCACTGACCATTGTTGATTTTTCTTTCCTTACCAGATTGGTATCAACAATTTTGTCCACATCTGTACAACAAAGTTAAATGAGTGTTGAATTCACAAATATGCATTAAATCAGCTCATAGTATGATTTTTAAAAATAATTATTGTCTTGTGATCGATCGATAGATAGATAGATAGATAGGTATAGAAAGAAAGAGATAGATATGACAGCATTCATCTGTGGGAGCTGGAATCACACCTCCCAGTCTGACCACTCAACCAATGATGTTTATGTTGAGAGTGGGATTCGAACCGCCAACCTTCAGATCAGACGAACGCTCTACAAACTGAGCTACTGTCTACCCGAAGATGAATTTGTTTTGCAGATTATCTCTTTCTTTCTTTCTTTCTCTTTCTATATCTATCTATCTATCTATCTAACTCTCTTTCTATCTCTCATTATCCATCTATTTATCTCTTCCTGTTTCTGTCTATCTTTCTCTATCTGTAACTCTCTTTTCTCTTTTTCTATTTCTATCATCCATCTCTTTTTCTTTCATTCTTCTCTTTCTATCTATCTGTCTGTCTGTTTCTAGTCTATATCTGTCAGCTCCTCCTATCAGACCTGAGCTAAAGCCTGAGTTCACATTTTCTTATCATCACCAAAACAATCACGTCTCTCATATTTCTGATTCCTACATCAAGCACTATTCACTCTGATGAAGGGAAAGCTCTTGGTTTTATCATAAGGATTTTAGTATATTCCACTGCTGTTTTTTCTTTTACGTGATTTATGTGACTTCTCAAAAGTTTCTACGTCCTAAAACAGGTTCATACAAATAGATGTAAAAGCAGAATATTTTAGTGGGGAGGAAATTAAATAAACAAGGATGATTTTGAGTCTTTTTATTGTACATGTTTCATTTCAAAACGGAAGAAGTGCTCACAGTAAACAAAATAAAACATACAGTTACTTTAAATAGGCCTTGTACTTTCTCTTGACTTTGGTCACTTCACTCTCATCAGGCGTTATCTCACCGTACCATTTATACCAGCTCTCTCCAGCCGTTAAAGACGCAGGAGGAGGTGTGGCCCCCACTGCATCATGGGAGTTGGAGTAGTCTTCTTTTGTGAAGTCCACATATGGAATCTGAAACGGAAGGAATCCTGCAACAAAAACAACATGTTAATTTATCTACAGATCTACAGATAACAAATGAGTAGATTATATTAAAAAGGTTAGATAAGAGACTGATTAATGCATTCATTCCACTTTGTTTTCTTTCATGTTTAACTTAAATAAAAGAGTAGGAGGGAACATGCATTTTTATGTTTTTTTTCGTTCATTCGTTTTTCAAAAAATAAAACCAAAATTAAAAAAAACTAAAAAACAACCACCTTCTTCACCATTTGTCTCCAAAACCAAAACAAACAAACAGATAATAATTTGTTTTTTTCTTCAGTCCTCGATCCTATGTTTAAATGAAAAATGGAAAAAAAGATAACGGCCGTTTCCCGTCTACGCGGCCCAAACTGAGCTGCCGGACTGAACCAGGACCAAACTGTTTGGCCCTGGCCCCAGCACCGGTCCCAGTCCCGGTATTTTTTGTATTTTTTATGACTAGAATGAAATAATTTACAACCCTTTTTCCAAATACTGTGAACGGTGAAGATGCAGCGAAGTGTCTGGCTCGTCTTACCGTGGTCCCGAGACGCATCGATGGCCTCCGTCAGTTTCTTCTGCTGCTTCATACACACACCTGTAGACATATGCATTAGTGTTAATTCATTTTAATTAATACAGATGTCGTTATCAGACCTGTTCTAGGCTTAGTGATCTTTAAAAGTGCGTCTTACCGGTTTTGGTGGGGTCATAGATAATGCCTGTGTAGGGGCTGATAAACTGCTCCAGCAGTTTTACATTCTGTGAAACACAGTTTACTACAGTTAGCTTCTAAATACATTCAAAGTACAATACTAAACATCATTACATCATTATTTATCTCAAAATCTCATGTCTACATTTCAGGTCACTGTGTTTACATGCATGTGTACGCTACGAAAACGACAAGGAGAGTCATTCAACTGTGCGGGGTATGAAACAAGCTTTGGATCAGCAGCAGTGACAAACCACCATCCCTCCACCACAGACGAGCTGTGTACTTGTATTGTTTGGTCCTCTATTTAAAAAGAAATAAAATGTTGTGTTTGTCAAATATGCTGTTATGTGTATGATTGTACTTATAACTGCATATGAAGTTTCAGTCTTTTGATCTGCTGCAGACTGAGATTAGAGTGGTCTGACCTGTTCTCTGGAGAAGTGAGATAAAACATCAATCAAGAGCAAATTCAGTTAGCTGTGCATGTAAACAAAGTGAATGTGGCAAGTCCCACAAACCCATTCTTATGAAAATACAAGGATTCATGCCAGTTTTCTATTGACATCTGTGGGCGCCAACACTGCTGTTGTTTGCCAATAAACTCTAGCTGCCAGTGTCCAGTGTTGCCATTATAATGACTGTAAAAACCTACATCACCCACCTGGGGATGGATTATAATATTTACATCCCGGCAAATTGGGCAGGGGTTTCCACAGATCTTGTCTCCTCTCTGCAAAAAAATAACATGTAAAACAAATGCACAGAAGGTCATGTCTGGAGTTTGGGTGATAATATAAAGTGAGGTTTACAATGCAGGTCTTGCGTGTCTTCTGTGGAGGGATGCCTCCTTTGTGGTTTCTCCTGTAGCCTGTCCACACAGGGCTGCTTCCATATTTCTCTATGTATTCTGTAGGCCGCATAAAACAAAACAGTGAGATACATGAAACTATTTGGTAAACAGTATTCTGCACACAGGTACCTTCACTCTCCAGATACTCCCAGGGTTTTTCTTTATAGCGGGACAGTGTCTCTGCAGCCTGAGCAGCGGCCTCATCGTGGAGTGATGCAGCCTGACAGAAAGAGTGGCTCTGGAGGAAGACTGGAGAAACACTCACTCTGGGACACAACTTCTGGACACAGGGCTGCTGCAGAAATGACAGAGGAACTGGTCACTGTGACTACAGACATGAATCTCTATGACTGACAGCACACACTGAAGTCTTTTATTAAAAGGGGAAGCAGTAACAGATTTTAACACAACAATAAAAGCGCAGCATATATTTTGTTGAAACACAGGGTCGACATGTGTGTGAGGGAGAAACGTCCAAATAAATTTGGACAAAAACACTTTTCACTTCCATTAAACAACAGGGAACAGTTCACTGGTCCACATGTTGTGAACCATACACGTCTTAAAACGTTATTAGGACCCGTAAATATCTTGAAAGAAGATGGTAAGTGTGAAAACAAACATGTCAACTCTTAAATTTAATAAATATTTGTATTAGAAAAGCTAGCATTATCAAGGTAGATAGTAACGTTCGTTTTTGCTGTCATACGACAAGCCTTAGTTATACATTTAATAAAGCGCATCCTTAACCACGATGACATTGTAATAATACCTGATAAATCCGTAGTGGATGTAAAACTGAAGGAGTTAATCGCCATAAAACCTTCGCAACGCTTTGCACGGAGGCAGCCATGTTTGTGTGGGGTCATAGGGGAACGGTGAGAGGTGACGGAGGTGCGATCATCTCAATTTTATTTTTGTTAAATAATTTACCTTGTTTTATTTGAACCGTTAGTGTTTTTAATGTTGTTATTTTTCATTTTAAAACTGTGTGTAAATGATTAATTTCACAGTGACGTCACTGTTTATACTTTAGTCACGTGAGCAGAATAGGCGAGAGGCGATCATTGTGGTCGCCATCTTGGCCAAAATTAAACTAACAGTTTTTATCAAATTGACTCGTTGAAAGTCGTTTATTTAAACGACTTTAGTTATTGTATTTCACACAGTTTTGCGTGTCGTCGAGAAATTGTACTTTTCGTTTTGCAGCGAGGCATAAATTCCAAATAACGTGAGGGCCCGCCATTATGTCCTTGGAGTGAAACAGAGGTCATTCAGCCGCCATTTTGTTTCGGTAAAAAAAATGAGAAAAACGTCACGTATGACACGAAAAGCGTCACGGAGTATAAAAGCCAAGTCCCTCCCTCGCGGGCTCATTCCTGGATTTGTTCAAAGGTAAGTGAAGTCAGACAAACAGCGAGGCTTGTTTTCGCCTTTTTTGTTCTAATATCATATAAAATCACATTGAAATTGAACTCATATTTATCATAGTACTTGTATATAACGAAAACGAGATAATGTAGACGTACTGTAGGTTATATGTTACGCTGAATGTTTTGTCTACTTTGTGTCTTGCAGATATGAATTTGCTTTGCCGAAGACTGATCGTCGAGGACTTTGAACGTCTCTGCTCATATCAAATTTTTTTCTTCAAGTAATGGACATTTGATTTCTATTTTTGCCTCAAGTTGTTCCCGAAGGAAAGGGTAGCATTTAGCTATCACAGCCCCACCCAAGTCTTCAGTTTCTATTAAAACAATGAAGGCTGACGATATAAAAATTGTCTGAATAAGCTCTATAAGTGCCTTGAAAAGCACATAAAACTCCCGAGACGCTGAGGATCTATAGTATCAGTAGTAAGTTGATTTTGAAGTTAAATTGAAAATGAATTGTTAATCGTAGAAAAGCGTTTTATTTGGCTAATAATTTGATTATCGATAGTGTCGATAGCATGAGCTCACACAGAAAAGCAGACGGACGCCCAGGCTCCGTTTCTTTGTGTGTGAGACTGAACGGACCTATTGTTAATGCAAAGTAAATATAGCCAATAGTAAATAAGCAATCTGTTCATAAAGATTGCCATAGGCGTAGTAAACAAATGAGGGCTCGTGAAATCGGATTTTTGCCTTCCAGAAGCGCTTTGTAGGGGCTGCTCCACGGAACGAACTCCCTCCGCAATCTATACATAAAGATTGCGCTAGATGGTGGATTACTTTGGGGCTCGGTGTGCGAAAAGCCTGGTAATAGTTCAGGGACTTTCCGGCAGAAGCAGTACTCGGCAATCTGTGGATAAAGATTGCAGGACGCTGTGGTCTTTGTGGGATTGCCAAATATGGAGAGCTATAGTCGTGTCGCCTGTTCCCGGAGCTCTTGGCGCTTCGCTCGGATTGTAAATAGCCTCGAGTCGAGCGTGGCAGACTTTATTTACTCTTATTGGCGTGGCTTAGATATCCGGTGTTCCCGTCGCTTTTGTTTTCGCACCTCTTCAGTCCGGTGCTGCTCTGAGGGCCGTTGTTGTAGTGAGTGTGGAGTGTTGGTGTCGTGGAAGTGGTTAACAGGCAGGGCTCCGCCTCCCCTCCCCCGCGCCCCCGTCCTCGTCCTCTCCGCCGCAGCAGGAGCGGGGCCCGGGCCGCGGTCACACATGTCCGCCCAGAGCTCCTTTTATAGGCTGCCCTTATATAACCGAGGGCGGATTACTCTGCGTTGGCCCTTTACAATAGAACAGAGGAGATCCTAGTCCAGGCTATTTAAGTCGGATCTCCCGTGTTGAGTGGTCGTATTTCTTACAGAGTTTTGATGACTAAATATCTGTGAATGTTCCATTCCTCATGAACCAATTGTGTGTAACACTACTGTATGTATGTGGTCATTATAATGTTCTTCCCCCAGTGAACCAGGACAGGTGCAGTGTGAACACTAGCTGTACAGTGTAACAGCTGTCACATTACAGGAGTGGGTTATGTGCAGTGTTGTGGAGGTCTGAGACTATATAAAACTTCTACAGTCAATCGGGTAAGACCAGACTGATTCCTCACATCATAACGTTCATTATTAATTTATAGAGATAATGTCATAGACAATAACACTACATGGCAAATGAATCATAGATGCATGCATGCATAATGTGGCTCACCAAATAGTCAAGGATTTCCCCATTTGTTAAAATTAAACAGTCCCAATAATGTAAATTGCCCCATGGCCGCCTTAAAATTACTTTATGTGTCACCCTTTAAGAAATATTTAGTCTGGATATGCAATATGAAGTAAGATATTATGATAGTGGGTCTAGTTTTAATTGCAGAATAGCTTGAAGAAGCGTCTACAAATGGAATATAATGACATATTAAAAGTAATGTAGTTTTGGACTTTTATTTTTTTTACATTTCATCAGGTTTGAACAGAAAACTAAGACTATGAAACTATGAAAGCCTATAATGTATCAAATATATGTAAAAAGACAGTCATGTTTAATGTAATACCTGATATAAAATACATCTAAATAGTGTAACATGATCAGAAGAGCAGGATTCCCTCGGAGCAGCTCAGGGCTTGTTTACCCGCTCGTGTAGTACATGACTGTACCTGTAGAGGGCAGCACATGGAGCAGTACAGTACAGGCTCTGAACAGCTGACTGTGATGTCATGAGCACAGCTGAGTTCATTGAGCAACAGCTTCAAAAACAAGTGTTCAGAGCACAGTTTTATCAGTTTACATACATGCCCATCAGATTTCTTTCTTGTCTTTTTGTAACAGTTCTAGTTTATTTATATTTAGAGTCATGCCAGGTCTTTATATTAAATATTTTCTCTGGTAAATAACTTTTTTTCTTGTTTTGAAATGATCTCTTCAGTTGTGTGATTGTGTTAGATGCCATTAAAAGCTCTTCAATCATAATATTTTTGTTTTAAAGTAATTCTCTTGGATGTTTTTTGGTTTTCTTCCCCCTTAGAGGTGCATTGTGTAACTTTTCTTTTACTCCATTAATGTTATTGCTTTGTCCGGAAAGTTTCACAATATGCTATTAAACCTTTCTAAGTTCGTGGAGACCAAAACCAGAACAAGTTACAGGCCAGATCTGTGGAAAGGCAGGTTTTTCCGTAGCCTTTTTCAGCTATAAAACCACCTGTAATTGAATAAATGTAACGTAAAGCTCTGTTTTAATGTCATACTGTGGAACATTCCAAGTCAGAGCAATGGAGAATCACATCCAGAGAAGCAGGAAAGTGATGTAACTCAATCAAAAAGTTACATAGCGCACTTTTAATACCTTTTCCACTAAATACCATCAAATAAAAATCACAAAGACACCTCCTCATAGCCTCTCTTGATAGTTATAAAGTCATAAAATAAGAAAAAAATAAAAAAAAAACACCTGCACTGGCCTATTTCAAACTTCTTGTATATGAACTTTGGTTGGACCCACATCACACAAACTCTCTTCTGCTGTAGACCTGCCCTGCCTGGAGCTGCACTCATCTTCACGGAAACTGGACTGGTATTCACACACACAAGTACTTCTAATAGCTATATTTGTACTGCGAACTACTTTTTGGGTGCTAGTATTACGCGTATAGCTTCACCCATGTGAGGTATGCTGTTGTTCAGAGCTGTTTGGAGTAGATTTGACAGAGGATGAGTAGTTGTAAGTGGATTTTCTGGGCTTGGCTTTGTTTTGGTCGTGGTTGCGTTCGTAGCGTTTCCGTGGAGCTTCCCCTTTTCTCGCGGGCACAAAAAAAAAATTAGCAATATTAATTTGAGCCCAGACCGCAGAACTATTTGTCATACAGTTTGATTCATGATTTGCACTTCCTGTTTTGTTTTATTTTTTCCAGAAATGGCAGGGGGACCAGTTGACCCGAGGGAAATTTTGAAAGGAGTGGAGAATCTTCTAGGGAAGGATGGAGAGCTCCGGAGTCTGGAGGGTGTGCCCAAAGTATTCAGGTTGGTACTGGATTATAAATGCTTGGATTATTTATTTGTTTGTTTATTTTTTTTACTAATTTGTGGCAATTTTTCATTCCAGTTTAATGAAAGCTTCCACCAAGATGGTCAGTAGATGCATGTACCTGAATATACTGATGCAGACGAAATCACACGATGTTCTCAACAGGTAGGACACTCTTTTTTTTTTTTTTTAAACTTTTTTAAGATTTTGGCTTTTGCAACCACTCCTTAACTTTATCATAATTACGTCTAAGTACAAAATCAATAATCAACATTGACCATTTTTACTCCTTATCAAGGTTATGCCCATAGTTAACCTGTTATGTTTGGAAAAAGTCTTGCTTTAGTATAAGATTTTACACATTTTTCACATTTCAGAACTTTTTTTTTTACAGATCTAAACTCCTGAGTTAACTTTTTTAAATGTAGAATAATGAAGGATATGTTGTTTGTCAAGGAAATGGAAATGATAGTACTTTAAAAAAACACAACCGTTGTTAATTGTGTCCATTAAATTTGCAATTTTGATTTTAAATTTTAGACATGTTAATATAATCTTACATTTTTAAAGCATAAAACATCAGTCTAAAGTGAATTAAGGATCAGTCAATCACTGAAACTTTATTTATAGAGCACTTTCATATAAAAATTCAACACAAAAGCACACTATTTCACTAGTTTGGGGAAATTGTACTTTTTTTTTTTTTTTTGCAAACGTAAACTCCTGACAAACTCGTGACATAGTAATTGCAGATATATTTGTTTTTAAACCGCTGCTGTGTCTCTGCAGGTTTATCCGCGTGGGCGGGTACAGGTTACTCAACTCGTGGCTCACATACTCGAAGACGACCAACAACACGCCTCTGCTCCACCTCATCCTGCTCACGCTGCAGAAGCTCCCCCTCAAGATCGACCACCTCAAACAGGTACGACCCACACCAGATTTTACGGGTTTGGACAAGGAAATATCAAAATAACAGATTCTGAAGTAAATACAAACCATAAACAATAATCCTAAAGCAGATTTAAACCACAAAAACTAGTTTAAATGTACAATATTGTTAAATAAACAGCAGAATTCAAGAGTTTAGTACTTAGTTTGCATCTGTAATGAGTCATAGAAGTAATTTTTTCAACCTTTTATTGCTCAAATCATATCAAATAGCCAAAAAATAACCAATAATTCCCCAGTAGTGTGAAGAAAATGTGCACACGATAACGATTGGCTCCCGAAAAAATACTGTTCCATGTGTTAAATACGGAATGAAAAGTCGATATGAGACAGGCCTAAGTAGAAAAAGCATGTTTGCAGATATAGCAACATTAATTCTATTCTTTGTTTTATAGAACAACACGGCCAAGCTGGTGAAGCAGCTGAGTAAAAGTGCAGAGACGGAGGGTAAGTTTATTCAAATGTCTCTTCTCTTTTAAGATCAACTTTGCATGGGCGGTTCCAGACTGTTCGTTTTTCCCCTTTAAAACTTTTAAAACATGAAGAGTTCGATCGCCGTTTTGAGAAATTGTCAAACAGTATTACCAAAAACAATTTCAATATGTACAATTTCTGGTAGATTTATAATAAAGGAGGGATGGATTAATAATTTTCTAGATATAAAGTCCATTTGGCTTTTGGAAACATCTGACTTTTTTGAATGGCACTCTTCATTTATTCAAAGTTTTTCTATAATTATGCCAGTTACCCTGTTAATTTTACTTTTACTTTCAAGTCAGTGGAAAATGACTCACTTCTTGAGCCAGATCTTTAGCTCTGTAGCAGTTTGTCGTGTTGTTTTTCATTATCTCGTCGTACTAACTGTCCTGCTTTGGTTTCTCAGAGCTCAGGAAGTTGGCGTCCGTGCTGGTGGACGGCTGGATGGCCACTATCCGCTCCCAGAAGGTCTCAGCCAGTGACGCTGCAGTGGGTAAGTACAACGCTGTGATGATGTTGTAACGTAAAGGCTTTACATATTTTTTTTATAACTTTTATTCTTGTTGATGTAGATAAGAAAAAGAGGAAAGAGGAACCCAAAGCCCCAGTTGTGAAGGAGAAGAGCACAGAAGAGGAGAAGAAGAAGGAAAAGAGTAAAGCTCACGCCCCCAGCCATGCCAAGATCCGCTCTATAGGTGAGACTAGAACACAGATATTTTTAGAAACACATTTTAAAATTTCAAGGGAATTTGGGGCCTTAGCTCAGACTACTACTCAAGATTTAGAATATTTGGATTTAAAAAATTTTTTTTTCAATTTTTTTATTTTTTTTTATTTAATTTTTATTTCTATTTCTATTTTTTATTTAATATGTATTATTATTATTATTATTATTATTATTATTTTATGTATTTTTTTTATTTCAAAATTTTCTATTTATTTTTTGTAGTTTTGTTTAATTTTATTATTTTTTATGTTATTTTTGTTAATTTATTAATTTTTGTTACATTTTCTTTTTAATTCAGTTAGAAATGCCATACAAAGGCAGTCATTTTTACCTACATGGTACATAAATGTGATTAATTTATTGTAAAAATATATTGTCATGTTTATATCATAGTTGCAATAGTCCTCATACAACTTTTTGTTTACTTTCATTTAAATCATGAATTTAAAAAGTCTGGGCATGCTTCTTTGCCTTGAACTCAGCATTAAATCAGTGGAAGAAATTAGATTAGATTTAAAGAAAACAGGAGCAGCAGGAATCCATTTAAAATCTCACAACTGTAAAACAGAAACAAAAACTGAAAGTCACATGTTACCAGTCACCAAAATAAACACTGTATTCTAACTCTTTCCTCTTTCAGGTTTCGACATGGACGCCCCAAACCCTGCTCCCGCTAAGAAGCCCCCCGTAGCGCCTCAGCTGGGAGACAAATACAACATCAAACCCCCAGTGCTCAAGAGACCCAGGTACAGTGAGCCTTTCTGTCAAAACTGCGCCCTCTAGTGGTGACTGACTCCTCCCCTGCTCCTCTACTGCCCTCTGCTGGCTCACTGGACTCATTGTTGATGTTTTTTTTTTTTTTTCCTTTTACAGTGGACCATTTGACGCTCCACCTCTCGAGAAGAAGTACAAGCCCCTCAACACGCCGTCCAACGCCACCAAAGAGATCAAAGTCAAGATTATACCAGCGCAACGTGAGTTCAAGGGCACCATATTACACCATTTTTCAATTTTAAAATGTTGTATCATCGTCAAAAACAGACCCAGAGTTGTGACCCAAGAAGTGCTGCATTGTTTTTTTAAACTCCACACACCTTTACTAGAATTATTTTGATGATTTCAGCTCTGGAATTGCCAATCTGCTCTGAACAAAAGTTAAAAAAGGTAGTTGTTAACGTGAAAATGACCGTTTCATGACATCACAAGGTGGACCAGAACGTTTTGAGCTTTGGAGATGTAGACAAACTAATAATGCAGGATTATTTAAATATGTAAATGAAACAAAACATAACTCCAGGGCTGTTTTTGAGGAGGTAACACCATTTTAACAAGGCTAAAAGCTCACAAGAGTCAAGTTTGTGTAATATAAGATCTTTAGAATAAACGTTTGTTTTCCTGATTTCATTGATTTCAAGCTGAATTTAAACTTTAAATCAAAAGTTGCCCTTACTGGAAAATGCAAAAATGGGCAAGGGCAACTTTCTGTTTAAAGATTACTAGTTTAAGCCTCGTAGAGCACCTGTACTGCTATTTTTTTTAAACTCTTTTATGACCCAGTGAACTCTTTTCTTCATCTAAATTTAAACTTTGCTCTAACTGCTGCTGTTTTTGGACCCGTAGCGATGGAGGCGACTGGTTTCCTGGACGCCCTCAACTCCGCCCCAGTGCCCGGCATCAAAATCAAGAAGAAGAAGGCCACGCCCACCTCGCCCGCGTCCAAGGTCGTGTCTCCCACCACTAACAAGGTACACACTGTGCCTTTTAACATTTATATTATAATGACGTAACAATAACGGAAATATCGTGATATCGTATCGTCAAAAGTCTCACATTATATCGAATCTCAAGACTGTTCACATAAATTTATTGTTATGATGCAGCAACAGCTAAAAACAAAGGGAACTACATAGACCATGATCCTTTGCTCGGTTTCAGTCCATTATATGTGCTGTAATAACTGTTATAAGCAGTTTTAAAACTTAATTATTTGGATTATGATGAGAGAAAAGTCGCATATTCACACTTTTGTTCACATCAACAAAATATTGCAGTAAATACCAAACCGTGACATGCGTATCGTGAAAAAAAAGAGATTTGGATATCGTTACACCCCTAATATTTTATTTTAATATGTGTTTGATACAAATAGTAGTTTGGTTTAAAGAAATATTTCAGTATAAATCATAATTTCCAGTACTAATTACAGTACGTAGAGTCTATGGGGTCTTGCTCTGATCTTGTAGTTTAGACTTTTACAAATATTTTCTGAAATGCATGCGGTTCATTTCTGTGTCAATTAAATTATTAAATTAAAGGCGCACTGTGTAATTTTTCTGGTTGAGGGTCCGTCACCTGCTTGTTTCTATGGATATGTCATTGCTTTGCTTAAAATCTACCACATTTTAAGCAAATAATGTGGTAAACAGTTCTACCTTACATAAAATTTTATAGTTTTATAGCTCAAAAATACCTAAAAACAGGCTTTCTGACTGTGAGCAGCGTCGCCTCTCCACAGATCTGACCTGTAACTTGGTCTGGTTTGGTCTCCACGAAGCTTGAACAGATCCTCCACCAGAAAAGTTACACAACGCACCTTTAATCCTCAGAACACGGAAAAACTGTACTGAATTTCATCAAGATTTATCAAAAAAAAACCAACTAACCGTCTTTTGTGCTTTCTGTTTTGTTTAGGCCAGTCCGTTTGACAGCAGATCCTCCTCCTCCACCAAACCCACGTCGCCCGAAAACGGTTCCGGAAACGCAGACGAAAACCAGGAGCCCGACCGACCCGGGACCCCTGTGCCCATGGAGGACGGCGACGCTGCAGAGAACGGTAAGAACCTCGCGAAGTCTCATTTAGTCCCACCTCGATGGCTACAGATTAGTGAAACTGAGGCTACGTTTATATGACGACGGTCTGAACAGAAGACGTAAAAGTGGCGTCGCATCTTCACTTTATATTCCGCGTTAGACGAGCGTTTTCAGGAGGAAATCTGCGTGGATACGGAGACGCAAAAGTGTGTGGAATTCGATTGGTTAGGTGGTGATTTTTGTGACGTAAACGCGAACACGACCTGAACAGATCTGACCAGAGTTTTGTGTCTTGGGCAGTGTAGATGGAAACAGTGCGGCAGAGAATATTCAACTTTTCCACTCTGGAGGGTGGTTTCAGATTTTTGCGTTTTTAAGCCCCAAAAACGCCGTCACCGTCTAAACGAAAGGCACTTCCGGTCGTTTTTACCCGCGAAAATTTCAACTTCGACTCAATTTTGGAAGGAATAGACTCCGAAACTCAATACCGATTCCAGTGATAATTTTAAAAACTCTTTATTTTGACAATAGTTTCTGATTTTCAGTATTAAATTGTAGTACTTTCTTTTATTCCCATGTGTTTTTATGTTTGCGTAATTCCTCAGTCGTCCACAAATCTAGTTTCGATACTAGTTTTAGGAACAATTAGTATCTGATTTTCGATCTTTTTGACAAACTAAAAACGTACACGGTGTAAGATTGTGACATAACAACATTAACTTGGATTAACACAAACTTCAAAACGAAAATCTAAATAGAAAATGAAAAGTTAGATGCTTTTAAGTCGTATTAATCTTTGATCGTTTATTATCCTTTTTTCAGGAGACAAACCCAACGCTCTGTCCGAACCCCGCGGCGACGAGGAGACGCTCACCAAAAAAGGAAAAAAGAAGAAGACGGTTCACTGGGCCGAAGAGGAACAGCTCAAACACTACTTCTACTTCGACCTGGACGAGACGGAACGCGGTAAGATCCTCAGATCCTCAGAGCCTCGAAGTTATTTTACTAATTTACGATTTAGGGGTTCAAATGTTCTGACTTTCCTAAAGACAAAACACGGAAAAAATATAGTTTAAGCAGTTTTATTTTTAGTTTTGGGCTCATAATGGTTTGTCAAACATTCAGATTTTACTCTGGGAACATTACAGGGAATAAAACGGGCACAAACACAGGAAATATTTATTTTTATAACAGGGAAGTTACACAATGCACCTTTAAATAAACAAAAAAATTCAGTAGCACAATTGAAAAGGAGCAGATTTTATCACTTAAATGTCCAAATTAAAGGTTAAAAGAAAATTAAAACCTCTATTTTTCTTTTTTGTTTTCTTTAGTCAACGTTAACAAGATCAAGGACTTTGGCGAGGCGGCGAAGAGGGAGCTGATGATGGACCGGCAGACGTTCGAGATGGCGCGGCGTCTGTCCCACGACACGATGGAGGAGCGCGTGCCCTGGACCCCGCCGCGGCCCCTCACGCTGCCCGGGAGCCTGGTGGTGCCCGGTTCCAACAGCACCGAGAAGCTCACCCAGAGGGACCGAGAGATGGGAATCCTGCAGGAGATCTTCCTCAGCAAAGAAAGGTGAGCGGGCGGACGAAGCGCTGGTCCTTCAGCATTTAAAACTTTTTAAATTTGCCAAAGAAGTAGCACAAACCAATTCACAATTATATTTTAAAGATCCTATATAACAATAAATTAACTCTGGTGAGATTTTAGAGATGTTATAATATTTTTACCTCCTAAAAAACAAACCTGGACTCTTGTGTTTTGTTTCATTCACACATGTTTGAGTGATCCTTTATTATTGGGATCTCCATCTTCAAAACTCAAACGCTCTCTTCCACCTTGTGATGTCATGAAGAGGTAGTTTTCAAGTTCAACACCTCCTTTTTGCCTTTAGTTCAGTAGAGGTTGGTAATTCCAGGTCTGAAATCATCCAAATGATTCTAGAGAAGGAATACGGAGTTTAAAAACACAGTGAAGCACTTGACATTGCAAGGTGGAAGAGTGTTTTTGGTTCTAAATCTGCAGTGTTGGGGAGTAACAGATTACATGTACCGGAGTTATGTAATCAGAGTACTAATTATGAGTAACTGTATTCAGTTACAGTTACTGTTTCAGTGAGTGGTAATTGGATACAGTTACTTTGTTGAAATAAATGGATTACACGGCGGTATTTTCCTGTTTTCACATTTTGGGCGATATACCCTATTTTTTCGGTAATTCTACTCATTGCCGGATACTAAACCAGGACTAAAACAGGATTTAACAGGACTAAATCATGCTGTGCGGACCGTGTCTCCTCGTCTTCTATCAATAATATTTTTAATTTGGTTCAGTAAAGTTTGGGCTTTTCATTTTCTTTTAAGAGACAAAACTTCTTACGTGAAGATTTCCTCGTCTTTGCTTCTCTACAGCAAATCAAGTAATCCAAAGTATTCAGATTACGTTACTCACTTTAAATAATTTAATGGATTACTTTACAAACTACTTTTTGATGTGAGTAATCTGTAATCTGTAGTGGAATACATTTTAAAAGTCACCTTCCCAACACTGCAAACATGTGCGAATGAAAGAAAACACAACTCCAGGTCTGTTTGTGATGAGGAAACTACAATATAACAGATAAGAAGATGGTGTAATATGGGCCCTTTTAATCAGTGCTAAATCAGAATTGGCACTTAGAGATTCTTTACAGACCACTTTCTGAAACATAAAGCTGTTATATTTGTTTGCTGATAAAATGTTGTTTTTTTTACAGTGTTCCCGACTGTCCACACGAGCCTGACCCTGAACCGTATGAACCCATGCCTCCTCGACTCATTCCACTGGATGAGGTGAGTCTCCCACACAAACACATTCAATTACAGATGTTTTCACCTGGTTTGTGCTTAATAACACTAAAATCCTGGGGTCAGTTTACATCACGTGTTGTCTGTGAGTGAAAAGAAATAAATTAATAATAATTTAGAAGGTGCAACATATATATATATATATTTTAATCAGTGGATCATCAATAGGAGAAATTTTGTGTTTTTTTTTTTTTTTTCATATTTAGCTGATTCTAAGTCAAAATTTCTTTGAACAGATAAAATATGGACAGTTTTATAAAACACCATGGCAACCAGTTCCATAATGTCATGGATTACACGGCGGTATTTTCCTGTTTTCGCATTTTGGGCTAAACCAGGTCTAAACCAGGTCTAAACCAGGTCTAAACCAGGTCTAAACCAGGTCTAAACCAGGTCTAAACCAGGTCTAAAACCAGGTCTAAACCAAGACTAAACCAGGACTAAAACCAGGTCTAAACTAGATCTAAACTAGGTCTAAACTAGGTCTAAACTAGGTCTAAACCAGGTCTAAACCAGGTCTAAACCAGGTCTAAACCAGGTCTAAACCAGGTCTAAACCAGGACTAAACCAAGACTAAACCAAGACTAAACCAGGTCTAAAACCAGGTCTAAACCAGGTCTAAACCAGGTCTAAACCAGGTCTAAACCAGGATTTAACAGGACTAAATCATGCTGCGTGGACGTGTCTCCTCGTCTTCTATCAATAATATTTTTGTTTAAGTAAAGTCTGTTTTTTTTATTTTCTTTTAGCAGATAAAACTTCTTATGTTACGATATTCTAGTCAGTAATCCAAAGTATTCAGATTACGTTACTCACTTTAAGTAATTTAATAGATTCTGTTACAAACTACATTTTGGTGTATGTAATCTGTAATCTGTAATCTGTAATCTGTAGGGGAGTACATTTTAAAAGTCACCTTCCCAACACTGTTTATACAAAATATGTCCACAGCAAATACTGTAATATCAGTATTTTTTGCTCTGTTACTACAAATATATAATGTATTACAATTTTGGAGTAACTTCCTCTTGAACACAAAGCTCTGACATTAACTCTGACCCCTCGTCTGTCTCCAGGACACGTCCATGATGGATGACAGTTACTCCGAGCCCATGGACACCACCCCCCAGCAGGGCGCCGGCGCAGGAGACAACAAACTGCCCCCGGTCCTCGCCAACCTCATCGGGAACCTGAGCACCAACTCGCGCAGCCCCCAGCAGGCGCCCAACCCCGTCAACAACCAGGCCGCGCCCTCGGTCAACGTGCAGGAGCTGCTCTCGTCCATTATGGTAAACACAAGCTGACAATGAAAATAAATCCTTGAATCTGAATCATATGTTTGTTTGTTTGTTTGTTTTTTTTATTATAAAGATGTTTTTCTAGAGTTATATCTCTAATTTTCACCTGTGTTTTTCCAGGGAGCACAGGGAAACCAGTCGACGGAGGATCTGATCAAACAGCCCGACTTCAACGAGAAAATCAAGCAGCTGCTGGGCTCGCTGCAGCAGAACCAGAACCAGAACCAGAGCGGACCTCCAGGTACCACTCTCATACACGTGTACTACAGTTAATAATAGTACTCAGTACCACTCTCATACACGTGTACTACAGTTAATGATAGTACTCAGTACCACTCTCATACACGTGTACTACAGTTAATGATAGTACTCAGTACCACTCTCATACACGTGTACTACAGTTAATGATAGTACTCAGTACCACTCTCATACACGTGTACTACAGTTAATGATAGTACTCAGTACCACTCTCATACACGTGTACTACAGTTAATAATAGTACTCAGTACCACTCTCATACACGTGTACTACAGTTAATGATAGTACTCAGTACCACTCTCATACACGTGTACTACAGTTAATAATAGTACTCAGTACCACTCTCATACACGTGTACTACAGTTAATGATAGTACTCAGTACCACTCTCATACACGTGTACTACAGTTAATGATAGTACTCAGTACCACTCTCATACACGTGTACTACAGTTAATAATAGTACTCAGTACCACTCTCATACACGTGTACTACAGTTAATGATAGTACTCAGTACCACTCTCATACACGTGTACTACAGTTAATGATAGTACTCAGTACCACTCTCATACACGTGTACTACAGTTAATAATAGTACTCAGTACCACTCTCATACACGTGTACTACAGTTAATGATAGTACTCAGTACCACTCTCATACACGTGTACTACAGTTAATAATAGTACTCAGTACCACTCTCATACACGTGTACTACAGTTAATGATAGTACTCAGTACCACTCTCATACACGTGTACTACAGTTAATGATAGTACTCAGAGTACCATGCAGTTCACACGGTTTTTTTATATCAATATGAAAGCCTAGAGTGCTGTCCTACTATCATTATTACTACTAATACTGTTACTTCTACTACTACTACTACTACTACTGTTACTACTACTGTTACTTCTACTGCTGCTACTACTACTGTTACTTCTACTACTACTACTACTGTTACTACTACTACTACTACTGTTACTACTACTACTACTGTTACTTCTACTGCTGCTACTACTACCGTTACTTCTACTACTACTACTGCTGCTGCTGCTGCTGCTACTACTATTACTATTGTTACTTTCACTACTACTACTACTGTTACTGCTACTACTACTACTCCTTCTATTACTCTTACTTCTTCTACTACTACTACTGTTACTGCTACTACTACTACCGTTACTTCTACTACTACTGCTGCTGCTGCTACTACTATTACTATTGTTACTTTTACTACTACTACTACTACTACTGTTACTTCTACTACTTCTACTACTACTACTACTACTACTACTACTACTGCTATATTGCTATAAATACTATAATTAGAGATATTTTTGACTGGAAATATAAACCTTTACATAGAAATAAGTGTACCTTACCCAAAGTTACTACATATAATACTTCACATAAGTCGACTAACAAAAAATATAACAATAATAAAAGTTTATAAGCATGATAATGTGCCAGTCTTTGCCAATTCCCATTTCTAACCCTGCTCTCTTTACTCCTATTTCCCTCTTAAATCTTTCCTGTCCAATAGAACTTGTGGGCAAAATGATAATAATGAGATAATATATGTAATATTTTTTGTAATAATAATACAAGTTGTAATAGTAATAAGAGTTGTAATAATTAAATCCTTCTCTTAACCCGTCTTCTCCTGTGTGTCTCTGTGCAGTGAACCCGGGTCTGCTGGGTCACGGTCCGGGCATGAACAACATGAACAACATGAACAACATGAACATGCACATGCAGATGCCCATGAACGGAGGCTACCCCCCCAACAACGCCCCCGGAGGCCCCCGCTTCAACCACCCGCCGCCCCCGCACGGACCCCCCTTCAACGCCGGAGGGCCCCGCATGATGGGACCGCCGCCGGGACAGGGCCGGGGCGGAGACAACGGCAACTACTGGGGAGGGGACGACTCCATGAGGGGGGGTCCACACAGGGGCGGACACTTCCACAGAGGAGGGCGGGGGCGAGGCGAAGGGCCGGGCTTCAGGGGCCGAGGGAGAGGAGGGCCCCGCGGAGGACACAACAACATGAACGGTGAGGACAGACGAGGATACAGTAGATACTAGGCCTGTCAAGATAACAATTTTGGAATCACGGTGCATTGAGATTAGGGATGGGCGTTCGATTAAATTGTCTTAATCAATCATTGGGAGAATTAATGATACATTTTTGATTAATAATGAATGTTTTTCTTTTAAATTATTATACAAGATAATCCTTGTAAACCATTTTTGATAGACTTTAGGGCTGAGTATTATTAAGAAGTTGCCGATACCATACATATCTCAATACATGGGCCGTGATATGATACGTTTTTTGATTCAGTACGATTCAATACCATGTACTTCAAGTCTTTTCGATACGGTTGAGTAAAAAACAAAGGCTAAATTGTGGCTGTGATACTTAAAGACTTTATTAAATCACTAAGTTTGTGCCAAGTTAATATAAAAAAATGCCTATTTTAATCATCAAAACAGTAAAAATGTCAAATGTGTTGCATAAACAAGTTTCCTTTCCCCAAACAAGCAACACTCTTTCACAAAATAATTTAGTAAAATATACCAAAAAATACTGATATATTGATAAAGCAGCCCACAGTATCGATACTGTATCATCAAATTAAACGATAAGCTAGCCAAAAAATAAGAAAATGTTCCGGCTAATGTTCCACACAAGTTATTACAGTGAGGGGAAACTAGGTTACTGCCATAAGAAGTTGCCGATACGATACATACATCGATACATAGGCCATGATACGATACGTTTTTCGATTCAATACAGTATATTTCAAATCTATTCGATACATTTCAGTAAAAACTAAAGGCTAAATTGTGGCTGTATGTAATATGAAAAACAATTATTTTAATCATCAAAACAGTAAAAATGTCAAATGTGTCGCATAAACAAGCTTCCTTTCTCCAAACAAGCAACACTCTTTCATAGTAAAGTTTACCAAAAAATACTCGTGGCGATACATCGATACAGCAGCTCATGATATCGATACTATTTCATCAAATGAAATGATAAGATATCCAAAAAATAAGAAAAATGTTCCCACTATTGCAAAGAAAATGTCCACACAAGTTGTTATCGTGACAGACCTACATGTTGCAGACAATTTTTTTCTGCACAAATTTGTCCAAAACGCTAAAATAACTGCATATTTGAATGGAATAAATGATAAATATTCATGTTTTTTTTCTCTTCTTTTCTCAGACATGTCCAAGAGACCCGTGTGCCGTCACTTTATGATGAAGGGGAACTGCCGGTACGAGGGGAGCTGCGCCTTCTACCACCCGGGCGTCAACGGGCCTCCGCTACCGCCCAACTACAACGGCAACAACCCGCAGCACGGACACTAGCGCCCCCTCCGGCCGCTCCCCAAACCTTACGGACAATCGCCAACCACTATTTTAACTGGACACTTTTACACGAGACTGAAGAACCACTATGTTACGGCACTCATTTAAAAAAAAAAAAAACAACAATCCTCGGAGAGCTGTCGAGAACTCTACTAATCTCCTGTTAACTTTTGTACTGTGACTGATCCAAGTGTTGCTGAAAAAAACCCGCTGCCTTCTGTGTTCCAGAGCAAGCACTTTATAAACGCGAACAAAACAGGGCTGCACCGTTACGAGTTACGAAGAACTACTCGATACGAATGAAATTATTTGACTAAAAAAAGGTAAAAGCGCTCGAAATTAAATCTACACCTGCAGGGGGAGTTCACACAAAAACGACTATTTATGCACAAAAAATGACTAAGAAACAGTGTATTTATATTTAAAAAACAGATTAAACTCGTAAATTATGAGTTTAATCTGCGTTTTTTTTACGAAAATAAAAAAATACCCAATTTTCAGCTCTTCTCCTGTTCGCATTTGTCTCATTTAAATCCTTAAAGGTGCATTGTGTAACTTTTTGTAGGTATGTCTGAGCTATAAAACCACCTGTAATTGAGTAAATGTAAAGCAGAGCTGTTTAAAGTCACACTGCGGAACATTCTAGGCAGAGAAATTACATAAAAATAGAAACAAGCGACCCCAAGAGTTACAAAATTCACGAAAATTAAGTGAAATATTTTGTCGACTGAGACACTATTGATTGATACATCGACTTAAAGGTGCATTGTGTAACTTTTTGTAGGTACTTTTGGGCTATGAATCCACTTGTAATTGAGTAAATGTTAAGTAGAGCTGTTTAATGCCACACTGAGGAACATTCTAGGCAGAGAAATGACATAAAAATAGAAACAAGCAACCAAAAAATTTACAAAATTCATGAAAATTGAGTGAAACAATTTATCGACTAAGACACTATTGACTGATGCATCGACTTAAAGGTGCATTGCGCAACTTTTCTGCTACCTGCCTGTCTCCATGGCGACGTTACGGCTCCGTTTTGAATGTTCCGCAGTATGTTGTTAAACTGTTTATCTTGCGTTTACTCAATTTTACTCAATTACACATCGTTTTTTTTATCGCCTTAAAACCGTGAGTTCTTGCTGTGAGCGGGCTTGCCTCTCCACAGATCTGACCCCGCGAGATAAAATGCAACGCCACGCTGCCGAAAAGTTACGCAGCGCAGCTTTAAGCGCGTCGAGTTGTCCTGGCGAAACTGGATCGAAGCGTTTGTTCCTGGAATCGTGTCTCGGTGCAGCCCTCGGAACTTCAAAACGATGGTGTTATAAATCCGTGGAGAAGCTCTCCCGGATTTTCCCCGCTCCCCTCGCTGCTTGTACGAAAAGTTTTGGAAATGCGTCTTTGCTTTTTTTTTTTTTTTAAATCCCAAAGTCGTGCGTCTGTGAGAAGTGACGATATCTTCGGTCTTGTGCAGTGTTACCGTATCCCGTTTTCCTCGGGGTCGTCGGCTGTAAAAAAAATAATACGTGTAAGTGTTTTCCGTGAAAACATGTCACTTTTGCGTCTCTTCTGGGACTCGCCGAATGTAAAGTTTCGTTTTTGTGTTTTCTTTTTGTGTTTTTTTTTATTTTTTTATTTTGATACATCCAAGGGAACATTGGGCCTTTTTACGATGGCTGCCGTTTTTTTTGTCAGTATGAAATGTTATTATTATTAATACGCATTCATACGTGTTTCTATTTTCTTTTGTACATTATGTAATGAATAAATGTCAGAACTTAAATAAACTGTAAGATATTGTTTTTTAATCACGCAAACATGAGCTAAATGTGTTCCCAGATACGAAGTAAACATGTTTAAATCAAATATAGCTTTTAATGATAATACTAACGCTGATTTAGTCTTAACTACAAAAAATATAATTGGAATTTGGTGTTTTGGTTCAGAACACAATTATACAGTCAAAGCAGAATAAGCCTCACGTTTTGACAGTTTTAATGCTGAAAAACCCAGCTTCTTTAAACCTAAAAATGCCTTTTTCTGATCTGAATTATCTCTACTTAAAACCTCAACATCTGCAGCTCAGAGAGGGAATTTCTGGAGGTTCTGAGCGTTCACATGAGGCCTGAACATAAAATAAAAAATAAGAAAAGCTTGTCTCTATCTGCAGGTTAAAGCTCTAGAGACGCAGGTTTAGTTGTGATTTTACTTTTTTTTAAACTTAAACACTTTTGAATGTGAACACAGCAACTCTTCACTCTAGGCTTACACAAAAAATATAAACATTTCAATAATTGTGTTGAGCAAGCAAATAAAAACCCATTATTAAATCAAAATATACATAGAATACAGTCTGTTTTTAATATATATCGTACATATTTCACATATTAAAATTGTTCTCCCAAATATTTAGTCTGATGTAAAAGAACCACTGGTAAAACGTGAGTTCCACTATCACGAGTTAAACGCTGATGTGTCGCCCCCTTGTGGATTCACCAAGTATTAAAGTATTAAACTATGTGAGCGTCGCCTTTTGATGAGGCAGACACTTTCTGAATAATTGTTGTACATAATAAAATAAAAATAAAAATTGTTTGAATATTTCTTGACGTGTTTCTTGTTGTTTTTAGTTTTACTTGAGACTTGACTTGATAACATGGACAAGACTTGGGACTCAGCTTGGATTTGAAGGTCAGTGACTTGGGACTTGACTCGGACTTGAGGCCTGTGATTTGAAAAGCGCTTTTAAATCTGAATTCTTTCTATTCTGACTGTAATGATTCACACTATGATCTTGTCAAGACGTTTAAAAACAAAAAAACTTACATTTCTACAACTCTTATATCCTCTGTAAATAATCATATATAAATATAGTATGAGTTTTTAAGTACAATTTAGTTTAAAATTCATATAAATTGCAAAAATCTAAGCTTTATTTGGTACTTTAAAGAATTGAAAGCTTAAACCAGGACTCAACCAGGTCTAAACCAGGTCTAAACCAGGTCTAAACCAGGAATAAACCAGGACTAAACCATAACTAAACCAGGTCTAAACCAGGTCTAAACCAGGTCTAAACCAGGTCTAAACCAGAACTAAACCAGGACTAAACCAGGACTAAACCAGGTCTAAACTAAGACTAAACCAGGCCTAAACCAGGACTAAACCAGGACTAAACCAGGGCTAAACCAGGTCTAAACCAGTTCTAAACCAGGACTTAACCAGGACTAAAACAGGACTTAACCAGGTCTAAACCAGTTCTAAACCAGGACTTAACCAGGACTAAAACAGGACTAAACCAGGTCTAAACCAGGACTAAAACAGGACTAAACCAGTTCTAAACCAGGACTTAACCAAGGGAACATTGGGCCTTTTTACGATGGCTGCCGTTTTTTTTTGTCAGTATGAAATGTTATTATTATTAATACGCATTCATACGTGTTTCTATTTTCTTTTGTACATTATGTAATGAATAAATGTCAGAACTTAAATAAACTGTAAGATATTGTTTTTTAATCACGCAAACATGAGCTAAATGTGTTCCCAGATACGAAGTAAACATGTTTAAATCAAATATAGCTTTTAATGATAATACTAACGCTGATTTAGTCTTAACTACAAAAAATATAATTGGAATTTGGTGTTTTGGTTCAGAACACAATTATACAGTCAAAGCAGAATAAGCCTCACGTTTTGACAGTTTTAATGCATGAAAAACCCAGCTTCTTTAAACCTAAAAATGCCTTTTTCTGATCTGAATTATCTCTATTTAAACCTCAACATCTGCAGCTCAGAGAGGGAATTTCTGGAGGTTCTGAGCGTTCACATGAGGCCTGAACATAAAATAAAAAATAAGAAAAGCTTGTCTCTATCTGCAGGTTAAAGCTCTAGAGACGCAGGTTTAGTTGTGATTTTACTTTTTTTTTTAAACTTAAACACTTTTGAATGTGAACACAGCAACTCTTCACTCTAGGCTTACACAAAAAATATAAACATTTCAATAATTCTGTTGAGCAAGCAAATAAAAACCCATTATTAAATCAAAATATACATAGAATACAGTCTGTTTTTAATATATATCGTACATATTTCACATATTAAAATTGTTCTCCCAAATATTTAGTCTGATGTAAAAGAACCACTGGTAAAACGTGAGTTCCATTATCACGAGTTAAACGCTGATGTGTCGCCCCCTTGTGGATTCACCAAGTATTAAAGTATTAAACTATGTGAGCGTCGCCTTTTGATGAGGCAGACACTTTCTGAATAATTGTTGTACATAATAAAATAAAAATAAAAATTGTTTGAATATTTCTTGACGTGTTTCTTGTTGTTTTTAGTTTTACTTGAGACTTGACTTGATAACATGGACAAGACTTGGGACTCAGCTTGGATTTGAAGGTCAGTGACTTGGGACTTGACTCGGACTTGAGGCCTGTGATTTGAAAAGCGCTTTTAAATCTGAATTCTTTCTATTCTGACTGTAATGATTCACACTATGATCTTGTCAAGACGTTTAAAAACAAAAAAAACTTACATTTCTACAACTCTTATATCTTCTGTAAATAATCATATATAAATATAGTATGAGTTTTTAAGAACAATTTAGTTTCAAATTCATATAAATTGCAAAAATCTAAGCTTTATTTGGTACTTTAAAGAATTGAAAGCTTAAACCAGGACTCAACCAGGTCTAAACCAGGACTAAACCAGGACTAAACCAGGAACTAAAACCAGGTCTAAACCAGGACTAAACCAGGTCTAAACCAGGTCTAAACCAGGTCTAAACCAGGAACTAAACCAGGACTAAACCACTAAAAGGACTAAACCAGGACTAAACCAGGTCTAAAACCAGGACTAAACCAGGACTAAACCAGGACTAAACCAGGACTAAACCAGGTCTAAACCAGGACTAAAACCAGGAACTAAACCAGGACTAAACCAGGTCTAAACCAGGTCTAAAACTAAACCAGGACCAAACCAGGACTAAACCAGGTCTAAACCAGGACTAAACCAGGTCTAAACCAGGACTAAACCAGGTCTAAACCAGGACTAAACCAGGACTAAACCAGGTCTAAACCAGGACTAAACCAGGACCAAACCAGGACTAAACCAGGACTAAACCAGGTCTAAACCAAAACTAAACCAGGACTAAACCAGGTCTAAACCAGAATTAAACCAGGAATAAACCAGGTCTAAACCAGAAATAAACCAGGACCAAACCAGGACTAAACCAGGTCTAAACCAGGACTAAACCAGGACTAAACCAGGTCTAAACCAGAACTAAACCAGGAATAAACCAGGACTAAACCAAGTCTAAACCAGGTCTAAACCAGAACTAAACCAGGAATAAACCAGGTCTAAACCAATTCTAAACCAGGACTAAACCAGGTCTAAACGAGGACTAAACCAGGTCTAAACCAGGACTAAACCAGGTCTAAACGAGGACTAAACCAGGTCTAAACCAGGAGGACTAAACCAGGTCTAAACCAAATCTAAACCAGGTCTAAACCAGGACTAAACCAGGTCCAAACCAGGACTAAATAATTTAATGAATTCCGTTACAAACTACATTTTGGGGTATGTAATCTGTAATCTGTAGGGGATTACATTTTAAAAGTCACCTTCCCAACACTGTTTATCATCATGGATCTCAAACCAAACCAGACCAAGCTACAGGTCAGATCTGTGGAGAGGCGACGCCGCTCGCAGTCAGAATCCCTGTTCTCTAGGTATTTTTTGAGCTGTAAAACCACGTGTAGTTTAGTCATTTGTTGGACTCTGCACCAGAAAAGTTACACAGTGCACCTTTAAGATGACCCCGCCTCGACTTCAGGATGTGTACAGTCGAAGTTGGCGTCCCTCCAGCCGCTTTAAGTACTTCCTCTTCAGACAGGATGCTGGACGGGACAGCAGGACACGTCGGTTAACGGCCCCTCCCTCGTGTCGTGTAGCTGACGCAGCCTGAAGTGCAGGACGACAATAGAAGAGGATGAACACCGCCATTGTTCCTCCTGCGTTTGAACTGAGTCAATATTTGAGCTCGAGTGAAAGAAGAGGAGGGTCAAGTATCCAAACACTGCACTGAAGTAAGAGGAAAAAACTAGGCTACGCTGGAAAAGTACTACTGCAATATAGGACTAATTGTAAGAGTAACAAGCGCAGTGTTGGGAAGGTTATTTTTAAAATGTATTCCCCTACAGATTACAGATTACATACACCAAAATGTAGTTTGTAACGTCTTTGTAGAGAAACAAAGACGAGGAAATGTTCACATAAGAAAGAAAGGAGAGAGAGAGAGTAGAGACAGAAAGAGAGAGACAGAAAGAGAGAGAGAGACAGAAAAAGAGTGACAGAAGTGAGAGAGAGACAGAGAGAGACAAGAGAGAGCAGAAAGACAGAAAGAGAAAGGAAAGAATGACAGAGAGACAAAAAGACAGAGACAGAAAGAGAGAGAGAGACAGAAAAAGAGTGACAGAAGTGAGAGAGAGACAGAGAGAGAAGACACAGAGAGAAAGAGACAGAAGTGAGAGAGTGAGAGAGAGACAGAGAGAGCAGAAAACAGAAAGAGAAAGAAAAGAGTGACAGAGAGAGAGACAGAAAGAGACAGAGAGAGAGAGACAGAGAGAGACAAGAGAGAGAAGACAGAGAGAAAGAGACAGAAGTGAGAGAGAGACAGAGAGAGCAGAAAGACAGAAAGAGAAAGAAAAGAGTGACAGAGAGACAAAAAGACAGAGACAGAAAGAGAGAGACAGAAAAAGAGTGACGGAGAAAGAGAGAGACAGAAAGAGACAGAAAGGGAAAGAGAGAATAGAGACAG